ATGACCCTCCCACTCTCTTCTCTGCTATCTCTGGTGTTCTTCACGCCCTTCTGGTAGCCAGTTAAACCTAGGTATTTGGAGTTTCAGTGAGTCAAATCAGCTTGGGGAAGGACCTAGTGGTCCTGGAGCTAATGGAAGAGGGACGGGCACAGCATGAGGCTGGTTGAAGGCAAGGAAGGAGCAGAGGCAGGGAAGGAGAGCAGGAAGAGCAGCAACTTCCTCTTTGGGTGGCCATAGGCTGTTACATAGGGATCAGTAGCCCTTGTTGTCTCATGAACAGAGGCTCCTTCCCTGCCTGGTAGAGACAGGCTACTGCCAAATTAATGTGTTATGTATTGCCTGGAAGAGCCTTGACCCTGCTGGAAGCTGACTCACGTGACCTAGGTCATCGTATTTGCTGTGAGCCCCCCTGAAAAGTGGCCAGCTGTCTCTGAACAAGTGAGAGAAGCTGTGCCACTTCTGTACTCCTTTGACCCTTGGATGGGGCAATTTCTAAACTGGAGTTGCATGTGTCTTTGAAATAAGATACTACTGTCACTTTGCTTTCCAAAGGTAAAGAGGCTAATAAAGTTTATGGCTGCTGAGTTATCAACTTGTTAAAATATAAAGGAGGAAAAATAAGATAATTTCTTTCTTCACAGCCTTAACGTCTAACAGACAGCGCTCCAAGATTATCAATTCATAGAGGCACTTATCATGAAGCTATTGTTAGGCCTATTGTTCCTTTGGTTGCTTTCCTCAGAAGGTAAGTTTTGAAAGGCCCTTTGAAAATTTGAGTTACACATTATTTAGGAACCTATATTTTTAGTTGTTGGAAGGTGGGTGTATGGCAGGAGTCTTAGAAGCAGGATGAAGAAAATCTGTGAGTGAAACTGTGATCTTGCATGTAATTTTGGGTATGTCTGATATTTTTTGATAAAGATACATGCATTGGTTTGTACTGTTCTGGGGATGGACTGCATCTTAGGCTTTCTGATGAGAAAAACATCATCAAATGATCAGACTAACAGAGGTATCTGTCCCAAAGTGGTGCAGAAATTCAAGCAAGACGGAGATTTTCTCTAAATTCATATCTATGATCATCTTATTTTCAGTGACAGAAGATTATGTGAATGGGTTAGACAGTATCCTCACACTCGGGGCATTACTGTTCAGATTTCTGCAAATTTCAGGGTAGAGGGAAGCCTTTGTTCCCTGTACTGGGCCTGTGAAGTTTGTATTTGGTGCCTTGAGCCAGTTTTGTAGATGCTCTAGGACTAAAAATGCTGTGTATGTTTTGGCCGTATTGGCTCTGTGCTTTAGCTCTCTGCCTGTAAGAAAGTAATGATAAATAATAATAGTGCTTTACCTTACCAGTAGGCTGTGAGGATAAGAATTTTCAGAGGATTGGTAATGTGCTCTGGTAAGTAACTGTTAAGAGGTTTTGGTTCCTAAAATAAACAGAAGAAATGACCGCATTTGAGCTTTTTAATTTAGGGAAAATTATGTATGGTGACTGGAGTTCCTGTGAAAACTTGATTCAGGAAAAAACATTGATTAATAACAGCCTGTAAGAATTATTATCTGAAACAGGTTAACTATAAGAGGAAGGAGTAGAATCTTTCTCCCAAATTTTTTGAAAATTATCAGAAAAAATACTTTATTTTTTGTGATACTGAGAAAATTAAAGATACAATATAAAATTATTAAATGGTAGAGTAAGAGACTAACTATGATATTGGGAGCAGCAGGGTTTAAAAAAATCATACTATGGAAAGCATAAATCCAAAGCAAACTAAGAAAACTAAAGAATATATTTTCTGGTAAGTTAAAATTTAATCAGACAAGTAAAAAATGAATCTGAGGGGAAACAATGAATGATTGTTGAAGGAATAAAAACAAATAAGACCTTTTTAAAACACCTCTGAAACAGGTAGTCTGTAGGGCTGACAATTCCAAACTGTGTGGTGCAGTCAACATGCCAGAGGGACAGGATGCCATCCAGAGGAACCTGGACAGGCTGGAGGAGTGGGCCCAGCCAAGTGCAGGGTCCTGCACCTGGGTCAGGACAATCCTGGTTATTGATAAAGGCTAGGAGATGATGTGCTGGAAAGCAGCCCTGACAAAAAAGACTTGTGAGTAATAGTGGATGAAAAGCTGGACATGAGCCACCAATGTGCATCTGCAGCCCAGAAGGCCAACCTCATCCTGGGCTGCATCGAAAGAAGTGTGGCCAACAGGTCGAGGGAGGTGATTCTGCCCCTCTGCTCTGGTGCGACCTCACCTGGAATACTGTGTCCAGCTTTGGAGCTCTCAACACAAGAAGGACATGTACCTGTTGGAGCAAGTCCAGAGGAGGCCACGAGGATGATCCAAGGGCTGGAGCACCTCTCCTATGAGGACAGGCTGAGAGAGTTGGGGCTGTTTAGCCTGGAGAAGAGAAGGCTCCGGGGAGATCTTACAGTGGCCTTCCAGTACCTGAAGGGGCCTACAAGAAAGCTGGGGAGGGACTGTACAGAAGGGCACGTAGCAATAGGACAAGGAGTAATGGTTTTAAACTAGAAAAGGGTAGATTTAGGTTGGATATTAGGAAAAAGTTTTTCAATATGAGGGGAGTAGATCATTGGAACAGGTTGCCCAGAGAGGTAATGAAGGCCCCATCCCTGGAGATATTAAAGGTCGGTTTGATGGGGCTCTGAGCAACCTGCTCTAGTAAAGATGTCACTGCTCACTGCAGGGGGGTTGGACTAGATGACCTTTGAGGCTCCCTTCCAATCCAAACCATTCTATGATTCTATGACTGATGTATAAAAGAAAGCTGAAGCCCAACAAGGGTTAAATTAATTTCTTGTTTTTCTTTGGTGTCTTCTGCACAAGAGCTTAAAAAAGGCCTTGCACTCAGAGCCTTTCAGTGCAGGGAATAAGTAGGGGAACAGTTAAATCCTTGAAACAAATTGATAATGACTAGTAAAAAACCTGCCAGGTTTACATGATATCCACCCAAGGGAGTGAGCCAAGCAGAAATATGAGCATGTTCATGTATCAACTGTGGTGCAAACTATTTCTTGAGTCAGCATTGATGTCGGGAATGGAAGATGGCAAACATAAAAACAGTTTTTATAATGGGCTCCTTTTTAGGAGGATCTGGGGAACTGCAATGGTAGTTGTACAAAAGAAGTAATGTTGACTTTTGTACTAGGCAAGTTGGTAATAGCAGCATGAAGAACAGAGTGAAGTGACTGGGGATAAATATGATATAACAGGAGAGCTTCCCTGTGGAATTGATGAAGAAAATCTATGGATTGATTATTCAGCTGGGGTGTATTTGGATTTCCACGAACCTTTTGAGCAAGAGCTCCTAAGGAGCTAATTGTCATGGTGCAAGGGTGAGGGCATCTTTGTGGGCCCCTGGTTAAAAGCTGACTGGAGAATCAGATTGCAAATTTTCAAACTGTGAGAAGAGAGGAGAGTGAACCTGCAGAGGCTTGTATTGATCCGTGTTGGGATGTGTGCTCTCCATGTATTCGGAAGTGATCTGCATACGGGGGCTTGCTAGCTTGCTGATGCAAAACTACTCAGGATGCTCCGAATGAAAACTTAAAAGTAATATATATGGGGAAAACTTACTCTAGCTATGTGTAAGCTACAGTGAACCCTAAATTAGATATTGGTTGGTCACAGAACATAGCTGTCTGAAAACATCAGCTCTGTGTTAGCAACAGCCAGAGAGGCAAACAATTTCAGGAGTCAGGGAGAGAACAGCATAGAAAATACACTTCTGCTGCTGTATGTAGCTCCATAGTTCACTCGCATCTTGAGAGTTGTCTATACTTTTAATTTCAAAAAAGATGTGGAAAAACCTAGGAGGAGGATAAAGGGGAAGAGTGCTCAGACTTATGAAACTACTTCCACATGAGATCAAATAGACTGGCTCTTCAGCCTGGAAGAGAGATGGATGGGTATATGATAAAGACATACAGACATATGCAAAATGATAAATCTTGTGGAAACAGGGGAATGACTACTCTTTATAAGAACAACAAGGAAACAGATCAAGTTATTAAGGAATGAGAAAGTACTTTTTTTCAACATGTAATTGAATGATGAAGCACCTTTGCCACAGGGCTTCAGGGGGAAGCCAAAAGTGTGAAAGAGTTAGAAAAACAAATAGTCAAATTCATGTAAGAAAGGTCTTGGGGAGTTCTTCAACATTAAGTAATTGCTTTCTCAGGGAGACCAACAGCATAAGATAGCTGGGAGGACAGAGCATGGACGTATAACTGTATTTTCCTTATTCTTTCCCAAAGCATCTGTGATTGGATGTTGTCAGAGGCAGAATCCCAGATTAGATGGACCTTCAGTCTGACACAGAATGGCTGTTCTTAAATCTTTGAAATATCAAGAAGCCATTCCTTGCCCACCCCCTCACCCCCAATCCCGGAAACTGGGATTGGATCCTCTTTCTCTCTCAGTATAATCCATGGAACTGTTCTCAAATATAGTTCAAATTAATGTTAAAAATCTCAAAGATCCTGAGTGTCTGCAACAGATTTGTGTGATGCAGATGAGTCCCTCGTTGTGTGTGCCTACGGTATCTCAAACTACAGAGCTGGGGTTCTGGTTATCATCCTGAGTAAAGCATCATCTGAAAACATGGACTGAACAAGCATGAATTTTAAATAAAATGTCATGCAACAACCAGGTAGCAATTGTCTCAACTTTCTACAAAGTTCAGTAAAAATAATATAAATTTGCAAATAGCTTATGGCTGAAATGCAAGTGAGGGGACGGTGGGGGGGAAGAATGCAGGAAGTTGCTGACATCACGTAGTGTGGCTCATGAGACAGGCTGAGGTGGTCATGGGGAGCAGTAGTGGCTTTCTGCCACCGTGCTGACCTCGGTGTGCACTGGTACTGGTGTTCTCCACAAGGGCTGCCCAAAGGCCCCTGCTCAGGCCCAGCATGCCCAAGCATATCTCACCTGCTGGGCTGAGCTGGCTCTGCATTTCCTCTGTCTTTGACATGGAAATAAAGGTGTACAAGCAGAACTACACAACAGGACTAAATATTCCAGAAGAAGCTCCTGTATGTTAAAGGACAATTATTCTAAGTACAGAAAGATTTGTTATGGGACTTACTAGATGCTAATGGCTTCAGTGTGGCAAGCAGGGACAACTATGAGCATGCTTTGAAGTTCTCTGAGGATCTAGACCCAGACTTCGTGGCTACCTTTGCGGAGATTTCAGAATAAACCAAAATCTATGCGTATAAATCCAAGTGTATACTCAAGGAAAGAGAATAATGTTTAATGAAAGAGCTGCAGGCCTGACTTCTGGCACCACAGGCTATTTCGTCTGTCAACGCTCTCCATTAAGAGAAGAAATTGCAGCTGTTTCTGTATCACTGTGGCAAACTCAAAACAGTGTGGTGTTGGTCTCTGACTGTGGAAGATGTAGGATCATGTGAATTGTTCCTTTTTAAAGGAGTTCCACCTTGTACATGTTCAAACTACTCTAAATTTGGATGGAATAAAACTACAGAGATGTATGAAATGTGCTGAAGAGGAAAACAGGTAGAAAAGGCCTGTGGAGGACAAGATTGGTTGAGGAAATACACGAGTAGTCCATCACCTGCATGTATGAATTCATTGCATTCAAGTAATTTCAGCAGATCTCACCTGCTTATAATAACTAAAAGCTTATGTTGGTGAAGCACAAACTAGGAAAATACATTTGGTTGTTGGGATGTGCCTCACATTGGGAAAGTAGGGCGGAAGAGAAAGGTTGCTCCTCTCGGGGTTCTGTGTTTTTAGGTATATCAAGTCTTCTGAAGTAGTTTTCTAAGGTAAAAAATAGCACAATTCATTCTTTTAATGTTTTCAAGGTAATGCAGATCATCTGGAAGGACAAAGGAAACTAAAGGTAAAGTATGAGTACAGCTTTATCTTTTTTTTCCTTTTTTAATACTTATCATTACCTCACTGCCTATTACTTCCTCTGATGCATGCAGAAGAAAAAAAAATACAGCTTGGTGCTGTAAACCATTGAATTCTGCAAAGAATAAATGCAGAGCAAATGACTCAGCAATGTGATATTGCAGCTGCAAGATTAGAGTACCTAATCAGGAAATAAAGGTTTCTCTGAGCTACGGTAGTTATTAGGTTGCATATCCTGTGCGTAGATCAATTGTGGTTAGCGCTTATTCCTAGATGCTCTGTTGCTCTTTTAGAAACATAACATTAAACTGTTCCTTGCTTTGTAACGGGGCAAAGTGTCTGCATCATTGAGGTCCTCCAGCTGAGGACTAGGTGGTACGTGGGGACTGTGGTGACCCTTAACACAATATGGATCTCACCTTTACATAATAGTGGTGTTCAGCTAGCCAAGTGGTCATAGTGATAAGGGAAGCCCTAGCAAAGTCACCCCAGGGGGTTGTCTTAAGTGTTAGAGGTTGGGCCATACCTAGGCTCAGGGTGTAGGAGGGCGTTAAGTGTTGTCCCTAGTGGTGCCGAGTTGTCTGTCCTGCTGAGTGAATGACATCACTCACAACCTTGCCCCCAAGGCAAGGTTTTTGGTTTTGTTTTGTTTTGTTTTTTCTCCTTAGTTCTTTCTTTGATCACATGGAAATTTTGCCATGTGCCAAGGACCTAGAATATGGATGATGCTTTTGGTTCATTCTGCCTTTCCTGTTGCATACTGGAGTTGTAGCTTTTTGTTGAGTGTGTTGTGTGCCCTTTGGCATGTGAAGATGTGTGCAGATTAAGCACTCGCTGTTTGCATCAGTGGACGTAACAGGTTGTGTTCAGCACGTTTTATTGTTTGTTGAGGCCCAGTTCTGTGGCAATCAGTAAGAAAATTGATTAAAAAGTGTACAGTTTTGGAAGAGCAAATGTGAAAATGCAGCTGTGTTCCCATGTATTTCTAGCTGAGGTGTAAATGTTCTTTAAAATTCTTGTTATATGAGTAAGAGCTTGGTACTGTGTAAGAATGGAGCCCATATGACCTCTCCTCCAACAAACTTCCTTGTTACATCTAAGTAATAACTATATTTCTTTGTTAAAGGCTCTAAGAAGCTTCCAGTTTTCATGTGAGCCGACAATGTTACCTGAGACACCTTCAGCTTCAGGTTTGTGTTTAATATTGTCCTTGTAGAGGCTTTCCATCCCAAAATTATTTGAGAATGGGCTGAGGGAGAAATCAGCTTTTTGAGGGGATGTATATGTGCGGGGTACGACTGAAGTGAGGGTGGGTGCTATGAACTCCTTAGGTTTTTTGTTCTATTCATAAATACCTTTCTATCTTAGTTTCTTCAGCTGATAATTGAGGATGCCACTATTACTTAAATAATTCATAGGAGTGTTTTGTGATTTCTTGCTTGATGTTTGAGCATTTCAGTGCATCTGATCACCCAGAGTATTTACTGAACACCTGAGTAAAGCTTCTCATCCTCTCTAACTGATTTAAAGCCACCAGTTGAAAAGATCAGTGTAGACTTCTTACATTTTATTCAATTTTGCTATGTTTTAGTATGATGATTACTGCTCTTATTTATTTATTTTTTTTTAACCTAAAGTCTTTCTCATTTCTGCAGTTCATGCTCTGAGGCCAGCTGACATTAAAACAGTAACTGCAATAGGAAGTTTGCAAAGAGTAAGTACAAGCAGGAAGTGTGCTGAATGTGACCCATTTCCTCCATTCTGGGTCTGCGATGAGGTGATGATGAAGTGAGCTGATGATGTAGTTTGAGGTCCCAGTTAGGGCGTTCAGGACTTGAATCTTTCCACAAGCATCAAAGGCTTCTGGTGACAAATGACTGGAAATACCTGCTGTTCAGTGTTCCAGTATAACCTGAGTCAAAAAATAGCCAGCTGACTTTGTGCAGGAGGAAATGTGATCACACTGCTCTTGCAGAGAACCATGATCTTTGATTAGAGTGCTTGGATTTTCCTAACAATGAGTATAACAGATTGAATAACTGGAAGAAGAAGCTGGGAAAATTCAGACTGGAAAAAAGGTGCAATTTGGGTGATCACAATTAGAACAAATTATTTAGAAATACAGTAGATTTTCCATCCTCTTTAAGTGTTTTCTGTAGAGACTGTTTTCCCATCTAGAAGGCAGAAGTTCTAGAAGAATCACAAAGATATGCTTCTGATGTATAAATCACCGAGTAAAGTTGTTCTGTCTGTTCTAATACAATCAGATTTGGATGATCTTTGCTTATCTTAATAGCTGGAAGAAAACATCCGAAACAAATTTGGGGCCCAATTAAAAGCATTTAACCACAGTTCTCAAGCTTTGAGGAAGCATAGAAATGCACATTGGGCAAAAATTTGTAGCCATTGCAGGGGCTGTGACTGCAAAGAAATGAGGGAGATGCTCCCTTATCCCAAAACAACTTTCAGATTTGAGATGGTATTCATCAAGACATCATATTTTTCCTTGGGATGAAAGCTTTCAATTAGAAAATCAGCACTCGAAGTCCTTGTGAGTACCTCCTTCTTTGGCAGAAAATTATTGTCCTAAATGCAAAAGTGTTTCACCTGCATCAGATGCATGGCCCTTTACAGCAAGACTTTTTTGTGTTAATGTCTTTGTGCTTGTGGATGGTGCCATAGAAAAATATCTAAATTATCTTCTTGTAAGAAATGTCAGCTTTCCTAGGGCAAATATCTATGTCACTGTCTTTTCCTCAGACTCTAAAATCAATGAAGTTCCTCTGTTTATATTAAGGGGTTTTTTTTTAACACCAAACTCTTTGAGAGCCATCCATGTAAATTATCTAAATGACTTCAGGTCATGTCCCTTGTTGAAAAAGAGTCAATGCAGAGAAATTTGGTTTAGAACCAAAATTTAGAACCAGTTTTCATTCAACTGAATTTGAGCTTAACTAATCAAATTTTATTTTAAGCCATATGCAATAAATTCATTAATGAAAGCAGTAATTAAGAAAGGATTACCAGACTATGCAAATATGCTGTAATAAGGAAGCTCTGGAAAATAATTTAAATCTGTGAGTAACTGCAACACAATGGGGATGAGTACATAAAAAACAATATTACCTACAACAGGAGTGGAATACAGCAGGGGAATAGCATATGTAGAGCTAGTTTACACTTTGCTTAATGCTATTCTTATTGCTTGCTTGTTCACAGACACCAGGATCTGGCATACCTAATGATGATTTGCTCCAAAGGTAACAATGAATTGTTAGCATTGATAAGTGTCATAATACTAATTTATACAGTATCACAATGCAGGAATTTTGGAGACAAACTTTTTAGCAGGGCCTGTTGCCATAGGACAAGGGGAAATGGTTTTACAATAAATTAGGGTAGATTTAGAGTAGATATAAGGAAGAAATCTTTTTACAATGAGGGTGGTGAAACACTGGAGCAGGTTGCCCAGAGAGGTGGTAGAAGCACCATCCCTGGAAACATTCAAGGTCAGGTTGGACGGGGCTCTGAGCAGCCTGATCTAGTTGATCTCCCTGCTCACTGCAGGGGGTTGTACTAGATGACCTTGAAAGGTCCCTTCCAACCCAAACCATTCTATGATTCTGTGAATTAGACCCAAGCAATTTTTATTACTGTTTTCTAGAGAGGAGGAGGAGAAGGACTATGTAAAATATAAAGGATTTTGAGACACTGGATCCTTCCCAATCCTTAGTTAACAGAAATTCTTTGTACTTATGCAACATACAGAACTACCTTAGGGTTGCAATAACCTTGATTAAGAATCATTGCTACATGATGAATCCTAGGTAGTAAATATCATCATCCACTAATTAGAGACCAGAAAGCAGAGATTTATCAAAAAAGAAAGAACCCAGGAATCCTGATACCCTGTCCTCTGCTTGAATGATTCCAAGTGCTTCATGGACAAGGTTTACCCCATTTTCTTCTTTCATGCCCTTTTAGCAGAATGAACATATGGCTAAACCTTACAGATGCAAGTTTGTGTCATGCTTTTGAGTCATAGCATTCCAGATGAGGATTTGGCCTTACACAGACAAACTTTAAAAGACTACTTTTTAAAAATGGTTGCACAATCATCTGTGTTCACCTGTGTGTGGGCGCACACAGAGAGGTCCCTGCATTGCTTGTACATATGCATGAGCACAATTACTGCAACACGGAGAGTGTACAGAGACACAAAAATTTGAAATCCAAGACTGTGTTCTTACTCAGCAGTAGCTGATGACATGATAGTTTTGAGGAGAGAAAAGCTCCATTCTTAATTTCAGCAGCTGCTGTGAACAGGCACTCTGAGCTCTAGCATAGATAATAAGAAATTGAGTCTGTGCTGTAATGTAATTTTTCTCTGAGAAATGAAATAACAGCAGCTTCCTGTTTTCTCTTCCCACTCTACAGCACAGGAAGAAGCCTCCCTGAAGTAAGCGTGGAAACTTTAGCAGGTGCGTCTTTGCTGTCAAGCTGAAACTCAAGCAAATCGATGGAATGGCGCTGGCAGGAGCTCCAGCGCTTTGCTGGGCTGCAGAGCAGATGCAGTGGCAAAACACTGTAGGGGTGTAAGGGAAGCCTGAGGGATGGTATACTGGGGGGACATGAGTACAGACAGGCCGGGTTACTAATTCTGGTTTTAAAGAGACTGTCTGGGTAGACAAATAGTGGTGAAGAAGTGGTGCTGCAGACTTCTATAAGTTTCTTATATGCTCAACAGGGATTTTGGAGCTGCTACTACTACCCATGCCACAGTCCCTGCTGGCTTGTTCTTGCTGCCCATGTTAGCTCAGTGAAATCTTGTGTGGGTTTGCCTGTCCAGTACTCTTGCTGCTGAGCTGAACACACGTTCAGGATTTACAGTGGGGCTGCCATAGATGCACCACATAGGTGAATTCACCATTTATCAGCTGGTTCCAGCTGACTCTGAAGGCAGTTTTGACTTACTTGAAAGATGTTGCAAGTAAAACCTTCAGATCCGCTGAAATGCCGAGTTGAGTAGTGCATAGCTCCAGGGTCCTCCCCTCCAAATCTTCTTCCTGGTGTTTTAATGTCACCTCTGTTTCCCTGTGAAAACAGTTTAAATCCTGGCAACTCCTCAGCGCTTCAGGAGGCTGTCTCTGGGTAGCCCTTCCCAGGAGCTTAAATTCTACAGCTGCCTGTATTTAAATCTGCCTACACTACTTGTGGCTGACATGAGAGACGGGGATGGAGGTTTCTGACCTCAGTTTGGAGGCAAACTCAGATGTCAAACCTCCATTTCAGAAGGTGAGGAGCAGAACCATCAAGAAAAACTGCAGAGGGGCTTGGGCATACATCTCATGTCTGCCAAGAGATCCTCAGACTTTACATTTTCTGGGTGTTATAGTTTTGTTGTGTATATAGTGAAGATGTGGAGTAGCAGTCCTCTGTATACAGAAATCATCTAACCTGTGTATGTCATTCAGCTCTCATTAGCAGTTTTAATCCCTCGGTCCTACACCAGTCTCCCCCACCTGGCACAAATGGAGCGACATCAGACAATCAAGCCATGTAAGTCAGAGTTTTTTGGTTGGGCAGTTCATTTACTGATGGAAATGTAGAAGATGGAAGCCTTTGGTGCTGGAGCACTTCACTGGATACAGAATATGTTCAGTACTGGCAGAAGCTCCACAGACACTCCAGGGACAGACCCTGCCACTGTGGCTCAGTTGCCACCTCTCAGAAGCAGAAGGAACAAAGCCCTCTGTGTGCTTTGGGGTCTGGATCACCTGATTTAACATCAGATTTTCCTCTTCAGAGCTGCAAAACAATTTTTTGGGCTCAAATACAATTAGAGATTTGCCTTCCAACCTGTGTCTGCTGTTTTAATCTAAGTGCATATGTCTGAAAGTGGGATACTTGAATATGAGCTAATCACCCCAGGCTCTCTGTGTAGCACACACAAGTGTCTAACACACTTAGGTTAGAATAGATTCATCCCACCTGAAGTCTTAAGTGTTGTTTGATTTTAATGGTCAAGCTTTACTGAAGCCTTCATAGTTTCTCTTTTCCTTTCTGCTTTTCAGAGACCTCCTGCATCAAGCTGAAGAAACAGTGAAGCTCATGAAAGAGAACCAGGTTTGTCTAAAGCACAGGACAATTCAGAAAGGGTGGCATTGAAGCAGAAAAAGGGAGAAATGTGATGAAATAATTTAAACAGCACTCAAAAATATCTTCAAAATAGAAAATTATGTTTCTTTCGGTCCTTCTGTTTTAAACAACAATCAATTCTGTACCTTTCAAGTACAGAGTTTTGTTCTTGGAAGCATCCCACTTGGTTTACATTTGACAAAAGTGTCTGAAGATCTTGGTAGGGAAGCCAATATGTGTGTTTTGTATTGGTTAAGGATGTGAGACTTCTGCTAGCTACACTCTGTAACTGTGCCATTGTTTCTGAGAAGCCAACCCAAAATAATAATTCTTAGTATTTGTATCTTCAGTTTTCTCTTGGTCTTTTAGGATCATATTTTCAAAAAGGACAGTAAAGACAGATATGGTTTGGCTGATGTCAGTGGTTGGTGCTGGTGAGAGCCTGAATTATCACTCATAGCTGACTGCTTCGTAAATGCCATCCTGGAGTTTTATACATTCATTTTTCTTCTATTCTTAACCCTGAGGCGTGTTATTTTGTAAAATGGTCTTGACATAATGGGAAAATGTAATTGCCAAGGCGATTCTGCTGTTGCCTCTTCACCCTACAGGGAGCCCATCGGACTGTTTGTACGTGGATTTAGCATACATTTTTGTGGAACTGGGTGGTTCTAACTAATGATCTTCGGGATTGGCAAGAACTGCCTGATAAACACAGCACAGCTGAGCACAGCTCTAGCTCTCAGATTTTTGCATCCCACTAGTGTGACCCAGTCTCAGCAGTTCAGGAACATTAACCCTGTCAGCAAGCTGCAACAGCAATGGAAAGAAGCAGCACCAAGGTCTGAGCTAAGCTGTGCACGACCATCTTCTCCAACAGACTCTCCAATGGCAGCAGCGATTTCTGGCTCTAAGCTGAGTTTTTTACAAATGTGCATTCAGCTTTAATTGCAGCATTTGCTGTCTGTGCATCCATTTGCTGTCTCCTGTTGGGACAAGCTGGATGATTTGTCAAATGGAAGTGATCAGGGTGGCTAGGGTTGGGTAATGGACTACTGCTTGGTCTTGCTGATTTAAAGCCATAGAAAATCTTGTGTGAGAGGCAAATAGCAAATAGGTCTCTAATCATCCTATTCCTTTCAATTATGTATTTTTTTTTCTTCCAGATGATGGACTTAAAATAGCAAATAGGTCTCTAATCATCCCATCCTATTCCTTTCAATTATGTATTTTTTCCTCCCAGATGATGGACTTCCAAAATGACTGGAAACTGGTCACAGTTTTTTTTAGTGCTGAAAGCCCATGCTCTTCCTGTGCCTCCACACAACTGGTAAGCTCTTCATGGGGTGCTTTAGCAGTCAAGGCAGGTGGTTGAGACACTCTCCCAAGCTCTGCTCTCTGCAGTGGTGAACCAAAGCAGTAACTGGTTCCAGGATGTTAGAATGACTCTATGCAGTGATGTAAGCACCTCACATGCCTTAGTAGAACAGCTCATTTCCACCTTCAAGACTAAAGATACTTTTCTTCCCTTTCCCTGCCCTTTTTTTTTTTTTTTTAAATATGTTAACTTGTCTAATTATAAGCACTTAAGTTACAAGACTATTTCCATGGCTTTTCCTTGGTGCTGGCAAAGGCTGAATCCAGAATATAGTGGTCATTGGTAACACTTCAGTATGCAGCTCAACATGCAGGGCTTGTGACGTTTGGCAAATCAAAAAATTTGTTTTTTCTACTAGTTTTGGTGTCATTTCTCATCTCTTTTACAGAAGAACTGCATATTGGACAACGTGGAAAAACTTAAAGCTGTCTTGGATTTTTTGTATAAAAAGGTAAGATTTATTCATTAATCTTGAATGCCTGAATCTTTTGCTGATTTTTCCAGTCTCCCTTGCTGGACTAAGGATGTAGCACTGTTCAGGTGACTTAGAACACCAGTCTCATTAACTTCAATCCACCGGCTTCATTTATTGTCAATAAATGTTTTATTAATGCTTTTAAAAAGCTGATGTATGCAAACAGAAAGGATGGATGGGTTACTGTTTTGTTTTGCGACACAAGCTGATGTACCACTCAGTCACTGGGTTTTTTGGGTTTTTTGTTTGTTTTGTTTTGGTTTGGTTTTTCTAAGTGACTTCTATTAAAAATGGAGTACATCTGTCTATGTCTGAAAGTCATTCATGTTTAGCAGAGCTGATTGCGAAAATAATTGATATCTAATTACTGGATGTGTGGAGCTACCTAGGCAATGTCTAGGCTGCTAACTACATGGTGATGACTTCTACAGACCAGGGAAAACACCCATTAAAAATATGCATAATGGATCTTTTTTCCTATTATGTGTTCATTTTAGGATTGCACCATTTTTGAAGTTTTTTATCTGGCTGATCTAAGAATTTTCTGATTATCTAGGATGGTTTCTGGGAAATCTTCTGCACTGAATCTTAGTCTGCTAATGAATAGTATACTAGATGTGGACATGTCACTACTAAAGCAGACTATTATCTGTTTATCTGAAGTATTTAAATAGCATCTTACAAGAAGTTTGTTTTGATGCACTTAATGCCTGAAGAATGTTCTAAACCTGCTACAGTTTGATTGCATTAGGCCACAACCACTCATTTTTTCTCAGACTAACTTCAACAAATGTTGTGTACAGGTGAAGTTCCACCCACACATTCTCTTCAGACTCTCTCTACTATTATTTCCAGAATCTGTTTAGAATGTGCACTTGTAAAAGTGAGATATCATTATTTAAATGGAAGGCTGCTTTCTGCTTGGGGGAGAGGTGAGGCGGGACGCACAAATGCTTATGCTATTATACAGGACGTTTCATCCCCAGCCTTGCATTGGTATGTTGCCACAAAAATGGTAGTTCCTAGTTCATTTGAGTTCAATTTAGTTGGCTAGTGGCCACTTTGGTTATGTAAAATGAATTGCTGGGTCTCAGTCAAGAACTCATGGTCACGAGTACTTTGTGAATGATGATCAACATTATTCTAGATGGCAGGCATAGGAGTAGGGTTCAGAACAGAATTGGCAAAGACTTAGACCATTGATTTTATGCAGGCAGAATCTCAGTGTGAAGCTGTAGTCGTAATTTATCATTATCATTACTTGCTGATCTTTAATTGCAAATATAAGGCAATTAATTTTTGCTTTATCACTGCAGGTTCCCAAGGCCTTTGTAAATCTGGTGTACTCCACTGAGCTCACAACTTCCTCTCTTGCATGCCAAGATTACAATAATACCAGGTAACAAAGGTTCCTTTAAATTCTTGGCACTGACTCCTGCTAGTGTTCGGATACATAGATATGAATATGTTATTGACCTTATAACTGAGGTAGAGTCTTCTGAACAGGTTTTCTGCCCTTAATACAAGAATATGTAAAATATTTTAGGTTTCCACTTTGTTTCTGATAAACTGTCTCTGCAAGGCATTTTTTTGCCGGGAAGAGTAGGTGCTTTTAATCCTGCCAACTTGGATAACATATGTTTAAATATTGCACACTGTGGTTGTGGGGGATTGACCCTGGCCAGCAGTCACAGCCTCTCGCTCATTTCCCCCTTTACCACCCCCCAGCAGGACGGGATAGAGACTAGGAAGAACAAAAGCAAGAAAACTCATGGATTTAGATAAAGGCAGTTTAACAGATAAAAGAAAAAGAGCGAAAAATCAGTTGCACAAAGGTAGTCACCACCTCCCACGACTGGAGTGATATCAGCCAGTCTCCCCTCTTCCTCCTCTACCTCAGTTTTTATTGCTTTGCATACCATGTAACATCATGATATATCCCCTCAGCCAGTTCAGGTCAGCTAACCCATCTGCGTCCCCTCACAATCTCTTGCCTGCTCCCAGCCTACTCACTGAGTGGATCAGTGTGGGGAAAAAAAAAAAGACCTCAATGCTGTACAAGCACTGTTCAGCAACAGCCAAAGCATTGGTGTGTTATCAACAGCTTTAGCCACAAATCCAAAACATAGCACCATATGGGCTGCTCTGAAGAAAGTTAACTCCACCCCAGACAGAGCCAGTACTGTGATTACGGTCACAAGACTGTACAGTCTACTTACCCCTCTACTTACCCCCAGGTCTTTAGTCAGTGACAGTTCTGCCCTGAAGTTCTTGAGTCAAAAACTCTGAAGGCTCTTTAAAAGTTTAAGTTTCTAGTTATCAATGTTCACAAAGGGAGGAACTGGTCTTAAAGCATGTTGTTAGGCTATATGAAAGTTACTACTCAGGCTCAGGGTATGGTAGGGTGGAGGACATCCAATTTGTCAGTTCCTTATGGTAACTAAAAGCATGCCTAGATGCTTTCATCCATCTCCCTTTCTCAGTTCCTTGTAACTAAAGTGTGAGCAGCTATGTTCCAATTTAGTATGGAGTAGGAGTGCACACATGGACAGTTATGATGGAGTAGTTTACAGCTGATGAGATTACAGCCCATCTTACTCCACAGTAATTTTTTTCTTGTGCCCGTGGCACAAGGCACCATATGTACTAATGTAGTTATTCTGAAGCATTTCACAAGCTTTGCGTGTACACAACCTGGGAGACCTTCCATCAGTCAAGGAAGGGGCCTGGCTGCTACATAACCACATGCTTAACAACAAGTATAAGCAGAGGAGAAGCTTTGCTTGTCAAAAGCCATTGCATAGAGCATTCTAGCTTATTTCTCCTGCACAGGCACTGAGAGGAAAAATGTGGGACAGGTAGATGGGAGGTGGAAAAGAGAAATTTAGGAACATGGGCCTTGCCCTATATTGAAAGCCTTAACAATAAAATAAAATAGATCTAATTTTGTTTTCTTCTGAGGAATTTTTTAATTCCCTTTACAACTTAAGGCTATTTGCTTTCTCATTGTCAGCGTGCTCTTGTAGCTGTATTTATCTGGTTGAACAGTTTCACCAGTTTGCAAGCCTTTCAATGTTTGAACTCTCGAGTTCATCTCAGCCTCAGGCCCAGACCGTCTCCCAGATAAGGACCTCAGCATTTGGCTACCAAGTCCTCATTTTTGAACTGTGCTTTGAGAGAAAAACAGAAGCTGATACCAAAAGATGGCATTTCAGGTGTGTAAGAGGAGTATAGTAGCTGACACCCCCAGTCCCATGTCAGTACCTAAACTTTAGGCACTGAATTTTGGGACATAATAGGGATTTAAAGTTCATTCCTTTATTAGTTTCTTACTAACTAGAAGTGTTTTCCACACTAAAAGTAGTGCGTGGACCACGTTTTTAGGCATATAACTCTCCTCATGTGTTGTATGGAATCATGGGATGGTTTGGGTTGGAAGGCACCTTTAACGGCCATCTAGTCCAACTCCCCTGCACTGAGCAGGGACATCTTCCACTAGATGAGGTTGATCAGAGCCCCGTCCAACCTGATGTTGAATGTTTCCAGGGATGGGGCTTCTACCACCTCTCTGGGCAACCTGCTCCAGTGTTTCACCACCCTCACTGTAAAAAATTTCTTCCTTATATCTACTCTAATTCTACCCTAATTTATTGTAAAACCATTTCCCCTTGTCCTATTGCAGCAGGCCCTGCTGAGAAGTTGTCCTTAAAGGCCCTCTTTAAGTATTGAAGGGCCGCAATAAGGTCTCTCTGGAGCCTTCTCTTCTCCAGGTTGAACAACCCCAACTCTCTCAGCCTTTCTTCATAGGAGAGGTGTTCTACCCCTCTAATCATTCTCTAACCGTTTTTATGGTCCTCCTCGGGCCCTGCCCCAGCAGGTCCATGTCTTTATTGTACTGAGGAATCCAGAGCTGGATGCAGTATTCCAGGCATAGTCTCACCGGAGTAGGGCAGAGGGGCAGAATCACCTCCATCAACCTGCTGGCCACGCTTCTTTTGATGCAGCCCAGGATACAGTTGGCCTTTTGGGCTGCGAGCGCACATTGCTGGCTCATGTCCAGCTTTTCATCCACCAGTACCTCCAAGTCCTTCTCCACAGGTCTACTCGCAATCCATTCATCCTCCATCCTATATTGATACCAGGGATTTCCCCAACCCAGGTGCAGGACCTTGCACTTGGCATTGTTGAACCTCATGAGGCTCACATGGCACTACTTTGCAAGCTTGTCCAGGTCCCTCTGGATGACATCCCATCCTTCAGGTGTGTCAACCATTAGTCTCAGTTTGGTCTCATCTGCAAACTTGCTGAAGATGCACTCAATCTCACTGTCTATGTCATTGATGAAGATATTAAATAGTACCAGTCCCAGTACAGACCCCTTGAGGGACTCTGATCTCCATCTGGACACTGAATTACTCTCTGGATGTGACCATCCAACCAATTCCCCATCCACCAAACAGTTCACCCATCAAATCCATATCTCCTCAATTTAGAAAGAAGGATGTTGTAGGGAACCATGTCAAAGGCCTTACAGAAGTTCAGGTAGATGATATCTGTAGCTCTTCCCTTGTCTTCTGCTGTAATCACTCCATCATAGAAGGCCACTAGATTGGTCAGACAGGACTTGCCCTTGGTGAAGCCATGCTGGCTGACTTGAATCACCTCCTTGTCCTCCATGTATGAGGCTCTTCTGTTAGGCTTGGGTAAGATTCTGGTCCTGAGTTCCTATTTCTTTCACTCACCAGCAGTGATAAAAGCACTTTAACAGAGAACTCCCATTTTATAGGTTTAGCTGAAGTTCTGTGAAAAGGAGTCTGATCCTGACAAGTATTCACTGCTTACATCTGCAAACCCCACAAAAATGTTTGTCACATTCCAATCCACCTAGGTATTTTCAACTGAGTATATCTTTGCTGGAATCAAACTAATCTTAAATATATCTTCTATTGTTCCTATCTACAGCACTGGGAGAAGGTCCAAGTTTTCCAGTTAGCTGCAGATATATGCAGTATGCACATCTCACCTTGCAGGTCAGAAATTTGCCTGAGAGTAGTTAGCTGCTTGACAGCGCCTGGCCATCCTTTAGCACATGTAAGTTTTTGCAGCATTGAGCTTCCATCCAGGTTTCTAGATGGAGGTCTTGTTGCCAAATACTAAGGCAGAGGGTCCTGTGGAGGTATTCTGGGTATGTTCAATTTTCCTATGTGACTATAGAGAGCTAAATGTTTGAAAACTAGTGCAACTGCTATTTTAAGCCTGAGCATGCTCCTAGCTTGTGAGACCCTGAGCTAATCCAAGTCTGGCATATTTGTCATCTGAACAGGTTTTCAAATCAAGAAACAATCCAAAGCTCTGGACATTGAAATATGTATCATTCTATACTTATATAAAAAATTAGGATGTTCCATGTAGCTTTCTCTATATATGCAACAATTTAGTCTTTAACACATGTTTGTCAGTGATTTAAAAGATTTCGTCCTATTTTTCTTGTTTATGGAAAGCTCATAATATCTTTCATGTTTTTCATTCTTTTCTGCAGCAATCCAGGCAGGAATCAGTGCAATTGTACTGGTGAACTCTCCACATTAGATGATAACATCTTGAGGTGGTCCTATCAGGTATGGCATCTTCTTGTGTTGCTTGGCTCTCATATTGCTGGACGTGTCTATTCATTTTCCAGATTGGATTGAAGTGAGGAGTTAAGGGAGGAATAGCAGTAATGAGTTGAGTAACAGCCTTTTTATGACATGTCCTCAGCAGTCCTAACCCCATTTCTTTATCAAGAACATTGGAGATAAGTTCTGTCTATACTTGAGTGATCTTAATATCTTTCAAAGTTTCTAATGACTATATAGCTTTTGGCAACCTAGGATTTGTCATATCCCATCATAGAAATGATCCATCTCGTCCAGTAACCTGACACGTGATTTAGAAGAGGGAAACTTTCTGTTAAGACAGACAGTTGTACTGGAATTCCTTTTAAAAACACCAGAGAGGCAATAAGCCTGACATTTCATTGCCTTACTAAGCTTGGTGCTCTTTCAAAGAAAATTATGGTAACAGTGTAGCTTTCTCGTAGCTACAGGAAGTTTCCAATTACTGTGTAAGAAGATTTCATTAAATTACTGTCTTTGTTCTGGATTACGGAATTTGATTATTGTGGTTTATTAGGGATGGGGGATAATCTTAGTTCACTTCAAGCCCTGATGAACTGCATATGTATTACACTCTCTAGCTGATAATACTCATCTTGATTAAATGGTTGTCTCTTCAGGATGCTTGGGAAAAACTGCTGGTGTCTGAAAGGTATGATCAAAAGGATGACTTCACTGTCGTTCTTCAGCCTTCTCTCCAAGAAAGAAATCTGCTGCTCAGACCGGTGAGTAAACTCTAGTTGCTCCATTCTTTCTGGACTGTATCTGCTGAGGTTGAGTGCAATATTTAGCTGGCTCTTTCCTGTCTAGGCTGCGTGTAATGCCAGAAGACAAGGGTAGTCAGGCACATGCAGAACACACCTCAGAATCAGACAGAGGTCCTGAGAGTGGAGCTTGCTTCAGGCAGTGTCAGTCAGAGATCCTGTGGGGTTTTGAATGCTATATTCCTTGGAGAAATCAAGTCGTGGCACCTCTGTGGATTAGGTCACAAGTGTCTGGAAACTGCCAGTGCTGCTGATTTTCCATATCTTTGCAGCCAGCAGCCCATTCATCCCTGATTATGCTCAAACAAAGGCAAAATGAGGGTAATGAGAAGTATTTAGAGATGGGTAAGGAGAAAAAGATAAACTTTTTGTAAACTCTGTTTGAAAGTAGAGTTACCTTCCTGCAATGAGATTAATGCAGTCTGAGAATGAATTTTGTCCAGATTTTGTATTTGGTATAGCCAGTGGGGAATGAATATAGAGTTGCCCCAGGCATCAGACATGATTTTGCCACAGGTGATCTATAAAGGGAAGTTCAAAGGTCAGTGTTGTCTGAGACCTGGCAATGAAGAGAAGAATATTACTTACTAGGTAATGGTTCACTCAGAGCAAGGTATCAAAATCCAACACATAACATCAGGTGACTATTGGTAAAATAGGTTGGTAGTAAGTCATGATCTGGTTCCTGGGCATCATAACAGCTCCTTGAATTTCTAGTAATTCCATTGCTCCCCTCAGCTCAGTATCAGAACAAAATTGACTGGGAGAAGAAATTTGTTTTCTGGGAATGTTGGCATCTGCTGTGATGCAAAATCTTCCTCTGCTTCTGGGTCTTCTTGTGCCAGCCTTGCTTTGTTGATGGCTGGCCCATATGCAAATGGCAGAATTTTAGCTTTCATGGCATTACTTTTTCTCTTAGTAAATCGCTCTGTTATTGGCTTAAATGCCATCTTATGTCATAGGTTGATTCTTTATTTCTTTTGACTTGTGGTATACCTACAGGTCACCTTGTGCAATCTTCCAAACTCTTCCAACAATCACTTTAATTTAAAAATAAGCATGATCTCTTAAAACAAATTCTGCATGCTTCCACTGTTTAAATGCATGTAAGTGTTAGCTAGAAGAACTGTTGCTTATTCTGAATCATTCATGTGATCACATCTGTGCGTTTCCCTGATCTCCTGTATGTCACTATTGAGGTTGTGCTTTACCTTTGCTCTGGTCTTCTTGTCCTGTTGATATGCAGTCCCTTCACTGCTACCTTACAGCAGTAGGTACAGTAATCACTGAGAAGAACAACATCTGTTCTGTCTTGACACACCAGCAGTAACTGAGATAAGCAAGAAGTGGCTTAATGAGAGTACCAGAGATCGATGTTCTTGTGGATATGAATATTATTTTAGAAAATGAGACCTTTTGTAGCTGAATGTCTCATCTTTTCATACTCATGCTCATGTGTTTTCTCCTGCTCAAAATGCTTTCTCTTTCAGGGCAGGGATGGTTTCATTACCACATCAAAGACAGAAGTGGAAACTCTGGAAGATTATACTTTCATGGCTGTGGGCCTCTGGAACAACATGGTGAGCAGTACCAAAGACACTGTTGCTTACTGGACTTTGTACAGATGCCTGGTAGCAACTCCACACTAGCCAGACTTTGAGTAGCAAGAAGGGAGGGGAAGGAAGAGTATAGGAAAGAAACGTCCCATGATCTTTCGAGGTCCCTTCTAACCCCTAATATTCTGTGATTCTGTGACTGCTGTCCTCAGCTGTGCAAAGAGACTGCTCCCAAATAATGCTAAATGCCCTACACTCCCAAGACAAATCTCTTGCTGTTATGTGGCTGCTACGTACTATCAAGCACTTTTTAGAAAGGTTTCCAAAGTAACCCTTCAGGAAGTCTCGGGGAGTAAATGAGCTGTGACAGACCCTTCTTTTGCTAGTCTCACCTCTGTGACAGAGCAACACAGTGACAACTGAGGCTCGTCCTAACCTGAGATTATAGCAATTATACTCTTGTGTCTCCTCTGTCCTGTATCCATCCCCCTCATTATTAATGAGTCTCATAAGGTTGTCTTCTCCTTAACCATCATCCTTCTGCTGCTGTTACTCATACTAAAAAGGTGATAGACAGCCTTGAGGAGCTCCTATTATTTCCTCAAGAGCTGCATGTCCTACCCAGCTGAGGAAAGCTGACAAATGTTGCCTTCTAATAGGAAAGGGTGTCTGAGAGAAACATGGGCTCTCCAACCCACTCAGGCTTGAACACGATGACCAGTTCTGTAGGAGGCTGTTCCCTTCTGCAGGCTTGAGCTGCCGACACAGCATTTGCCTGTTGACTGAATGGATGCACGTACAGCTGGAAGAGTTTGCGTTTTAACATTTATGATGGGGGCAACAGGAGTTGCTTTTCAACATGAATAAGACAAAAAAGCAGGCATATGGTTTTGGACTCACTAGAGCAAAGCAGGATGTTACTGTTTTAGGATGTTATGTTTGGATATGCCCTGATATCAGTGGGTTTGGATAGAATTTTGATTTTACTTTTCCTTCTGACTTAGAAACTTCCAAAATTTTCTGCCTTTTTTTTCCCTAATAACCTTTTTATAACACATATAATCTTTTTTTTTTTTCCATTAAAAAGAATCTGCAATGGCCAATTAAATTCAAGATAAAAGACTTACTTTTTTTTGCTTGTTTTGCAGTCCACATGTTAATAAGATCTTAATCCGAGAGCACCTACTATTCCTGTGTCTGTCCAAATTACCCTAAGCACGAAGGAAAGAAGTCTATACCACAACTGCCTTTTAGTAAACCATGTTTAAAAATCCATGCAGATTGGCACATTCTTTTTTGCTTTTATGCTAATTCTGGCAGTAGTGATGCTGTTGTAGCCCTGATCATATAAAGAAGCAGGATTTGCAGGAAGAGACTAGATGATACAGCTAGAAAAATCCTACAGTCACTCTAATAAAAAAGATGTTATCTTTTAGTTAAAGTTAGTAAGACATTAATTAGTTAGTAGGAGCCAAAGAGTTAAAAATTGATCAGTTGCTGAAGCTCTAACCTTGGAACAACCATGATGCACCCAGTTATTTCCTTTGCTTTTATCTGTGACATTCCTCATGATGATGTCAAAGTTCCTATCTCAGTTCGTCTATCATAAAATAGATGCCATGATAAGATGCATGTTGGCTTCTTTATCGTTTGGTTTTGTTGGGGTTTTTTTTTTTTGCCTTGGCCTCACTAGGCAATTAGTTTCACCAGTTGAATGAGCAAAGCAGACACCAAAAGTCAGATTCCTGAAGTGTCAATTAAATGTTCTCTCTGTTTCTGGCAGTTGTCTGTTCAGAAACTGAGTGAGTTACTTTAATTGCTCATGTCTCTGTGTCCCCATCAGTGTTGGAGATATTTACCTGGATGACACAATTACCATCAATTAAACATGATCTGTAAGACGCTAGAAAGCGGTAGCATATCCTCCTCAGATACTAAGTGTTATGAATATTGAAGCTAGTCGGGAGCAAGCCACACAAAGTATGAACATCCAATTTGCTGTGAAAAGTGGCCCTTTACTTAGCACAGTTTTTCAATCAACAAAATTTTGAAATTAAATGCTGAATGTTCTTTCAGCTAGTGCAGAAATTGAAGGCTTTGAACTGGAGAGGGGCCACAGTGCTGCCAGTTTGCCAGCCCATTTTGTGCCTCTCCATCATGAATTGTTTGGGTCCAGCTGAAACAAATCTGTCAGAATCTGAGATCCATCTAACTGTGGCAATAGATCAGCCTTGAACTAATATGTTTTCTAGGGCTTATCAGTAGGAAACTGACCTCCAGCTTTGAGTGATGTCCTTTTTTATTAAATTCTGCAATTAGAAGAGTTCATGTGATTCTAATGGGCTTTACTTTCATTTTTTTCCAAGTCTAGGCTACAGCCTTCCCCCCACCCCCCTCCCAGTCTCTGTCCTTAAGCATCCCATTCTTTGGTGTGTTACTCTGTTCTTGATGCTTTAGCCACTAGGAGCGTTTTGTGGAAACAGCAGAGGTGAAAAACTATAAGCAAAATGAAGTGGTATTTTTAAGGATGGCTGTATTAGGGCCATCCAGTCCGAGACAGTTACACAGTCTCAGGCAGTTAACATGCTGGGGAGCCACCAAAACCAGAGAACTGTCATAAAGGAGACAAATACCAGCTTTGCTTTGTTTCAGTGTTTTTCCTCAGTGTGAAGTGGTTCCTCTAGCAAGGGGACAGGCTAGGTGATCTGGAGGAAGAGCAAAATGTGGCAAAACCACATCTTGCTACTGGTTCAAAGGGAGACTACAGGAATGCTAATATTCCCTTCACAACTCTTTTTTCCCCTCTGTTTTCTTGTCACCTCTTTGATTTAGTGGAATTTTCGTAGTACAGCTGGCAATCATCAGAAAGGCACCTCTCTGGGTAGGTTCCTTGTCTGCCTGTGATGGTATTCTGCCATGATGTAAGATGAAAGATGCTTTCAGTGTAAAAAGCACTGGCAGGTGTCCTCACGCAGTAAAAGTGAGTCTAGTTTTACTGCAAAGTCCAGCTAATGGTTTACACCAACTGCTTTAAAACCAAACCAAACCACAATGCAGTATTGGGAACTGTTGGGAAATCAAGATCATTACTTGCTGGGCAGCAAACACAGCAGAATGAGGATGTGCCTGAGAGCTGCATTCAGAGAGTTTCCCTCCTCCTGCTGTCTGCCAGGCTGCCCTTACCTTGTTTGGAGGCTCGGTACCAGCCTCTTTCTTGGAACAATTACCTGCTTAATGGCCAAAGGGCAAAACCTTGAAAATCTGGTGGCAATTGGCAGTTGGACTGCACTTCAGTCTGGCTGGGAAGAAGCTGAGCTAGCAGGTGCTAAGGACTTGTCCTAGGTATGGCTGGATATTTTACCAAAACATTCCAAGCTATGTAGGAGCAATGAGATTCATACACTAAGCACCTGAGAGAACAGTCAGCAAAATAACACTGGCTAGCTAGGAAAAGCTGAGAGAGGTGGTTGTTTACTTGGACAACTTCCATGTTTACCACGGAGAGCCTGATTGATTAATTTTGGCAGATGCCTTCAATTTTACCTCTGGAAGTATATTCAGGGGCAAAGCTCCTTTCATGTGTGTAAAGAACTTAGACAAGAAGCTCTCGCTCTTGTGTTTGTCATTTTTGTGTAACAGAAAAGGCCACAAAAAACCTCCCCTGCAACCAAGAGAGAAACTCAAACCAGGCAAGAACCCAACTGGGAACAGCACCAGAGGAGGCTGCCTGGGCCTCTCTTCTGCATTCAGGGGCTCACACTGACTTCGAAACTGCTGCAGTGCCAGAGCAGACTGACATGCTAACCAGCCTGCACAACAGATGTGCTGTAATTCAGGGGAGGTTTTGGCTGACCACAATGCAGACTTGGTGCCCAATTTCCTGACCAGGACCTTGCACCTCTGCTCTAGGGGAGCTAGCAGTCTCTACTGGGAGAACAGTGTCTTTGAGCTGTCTGGAATGTCCTCCTGGAGAAATTAGTTCTCATCACCCAACTCCTAACAACACACAGATGTCTAATACTTGTTTTAAATTCATTCCTACACAAGAAATGCCACTGTTGTCCCATGTTCTGTGGAATCATTCTGTGCTGGAAAAACAATATTTTATTTTAAGAATGTCATTAAATATCTACTTTGTTTTGTCCTAGGAGGATGGGAAAGTACCAGCTCCCAATGTTTCTTTTCTCTGAGTTTCATTATTTCGCATGTTTCAGGATCATTCTTTTTATTCCTATCTCTCTCTTAAAGAAGCACAGACTCTGTACCTTTAAATGCTTCTTTCAGATAATATCTAGCTCTGTAAACCTCTTCTCTCTTTCTCTGAATTTTCCCATTATTTTCATTGATGGAAAAACCAAAACAGAATATAACATTCCTGCCCAGAATGAATCAGTGACGTCAAGGCTCTCATTGCTTTCTTTGTCAGTGCCTTCCATCCTGTTTCTTCTGTAGTCTGCTCTTTCTGGCAGCTGCTGCTGCTGCTGGTGCAAACTGAGCAGACATTCACTAAAGAATCTAAAACAGTGGCCAAGGCGTGATTGCAATTTAATTAGCACCCAGCAAGGTGCCTGAACAGGTGAAGTAATTCTTTGTGCTGTCACTATTGAGATTTGAATCATTCAATAATTTTTCATTAACACTCATCCCCTCTCCATCTTGTTTAGAAGGTGGCCAACAAATATAAATATTATCAAGCCTCTGTGCAGAGTTGGAGTGCACCTTTTCATGTTGTCTAACATATGCAAATGTAGATAAGGAAACAGTTCTGGAAGGTGGGATAATCACAGAATATTAGGGATTGGAAGGGACCTCAAAAGATCATCTAGTCCAATCCCCCTGCTGGAGCAGGAACCTAAATGAGATCACACAGGAAGGCGTCCAGGCGGGTCTTGAATGTCTCCAGAGAAGGAGACTCCACAACCTCCCTGGGCAGCCTGTTCCAGTGCTCCGTCACCCTCACTGTAAAGAAGTTCCTTCTCAAGTTTAAGCAGAACCTCCTGTGTTCCAGCTTACACCCATTGCTCCTTGTCCTATCGTTGGGCATCACTGAGAAGAGCCTGGCTCCATCCTCGTGACATTCACCCTTAACATATTTATAAACATTAATTAGGTCTCCCCTCAGTCTCCTCTTCTCCAAGCTAAAGAGACCCAGCTCCCTCAGCCTTTCCTCATAAGGGACATGCTCCACTCCCTTAATCATCTTCGTGGCTCTGTGCTGGACTCTCTCCAGCAGTTCCCTGTCCTTCTTGAACTGTGGGGCCCAGAACTGGACACAGTATTCCAGATGTGACCTCACCAGGGCGGAAGCAACTTAGCAAGCTTTTAGTTACATGGGCTACAGCCACCAGAGGATTAATGTGTGACTTTAATGTGTTATATCCTATGTTTCTGACTTAGCTGCAAAATGAATTTGCAGCAAAGGAAGTACATAAAGACAGTGCTCTTAAGACAGGAGGAAAAAGTTAATGCAACATGAATGTATCACCAAACAGGATTTCTAGTTTTTCATTTATATTAGGGATTTTGTACTTTCACAGAATCATAGGGGTTGGAAGGGACCTCAGTAGATCATCTTGTCCAACCCCCCTGCCAAAGCAGGTTCCCTACAAGAGGTTGCACAGGAAAGCTTCCAGGTGGGTTTTGAACATCTCCAGAGATGGAGACTCCACATCCTCTCTGGGCAGCCTGTCCCAGTGTTCTGTCACCCTCACAGTAAAGAAGTTTTTCCTTGGGTTTGTATGGAAATTTTGGTGTTCCGGTTTTTGCCCATTGCCCCTTGTCCTGTCACTGGGTACTACTGAAAAGAGCCCGGCCCCATCCATTTGGCCTCCGCACTTCAGGTATTTATAGGCATTGATAAGATCCTCTTCCACTTCCGAGTTAAAGCAATGTGGATTTGCCCAAGCCTTCAGTGTGTAATTTGAGTCGAATCTGTATTTTCCAAGGAGTTTCAGTAATACCATTTTTGCTTCAAAGTTTCAAGCTACTCAGAGTTGCTTTTCCTCCCGCAGAAATCTTTATTTTCTTTATATTTTTATATGAAAACTGTAAACTGTAGAAAGCTGAAGAAAAGTCTCCCACTTGTGCCTTTCTTAAATGTTCATGAGCAGGGTTTCACAGCCTGGGAAAAGACAAAAAAGTGTGGCAGGTGAGGCCTGGGAGGACAGACAGACTGCTGCAACCTGGCAGTGGAGCTGTGACAACCCACCTTTTGCATTCTCATACTCAACCCAGCCAGGTTGCAGCAAATATCAGCAAAGTTTAAACTGCATATCATAAAGGGAGAAAACTAATAATGAGGGTGTTTTAAGCTACGCTCTTCTAGAGCATCTCCACAGTTACTGTGGTTGAGCTGATAAATAGTGACTTGATTGCAAGCAGTTGAATACTGTGGTATGAGATCAGTGCTCTGTGGGAAAAACACACCCAGGGTTGGCATTCCCAAGAGCAGAGTTAATGTGTGGATGCTTATTCTAATGATGATAGGATGACAGTCTTATCATGTGAGAGGCCTTGTTTTCAGTTCCTTTCTTTTGTAGGTATAACATGTGATATGTTATACATAGGTAAATTTTTATCATAAGCAAAACAAGTTTTTAAGTATATATATGAACCTGATGGAAACCTCCAGGCACTAGAGCCTTTGCGTTGCTGTTGCTCTCCCTTCCCTCCCACAGACAGCATATGTACAACTCCTCTGTTCTCTCCCTTTCCAGATGGAGCCAGTTGGACAGAAGCAGCCTTATGATTTCACAAAAAAACTTCAGGTCCGGTGTCCATCTCAGGTAAAAGGGTTTCCTTGTTACTGTGAGATTTTATTTACTCTTTGCAGAATTTCCAAGTTTTCAAATATTGTCGTCGTCTTCTGAAGTCCTTGGGAATGCGTACTTACCCCAAGATATTGCACTGTTAAAAATTCAGTGTTCTTAAAGTTCATTGACACAGACTCTTTATTTTATTAAGATGAAACTTTGAAACCAAGAACTTTTGACAAAATTTACTTAAATCATCTCACTGTGCCAGATATTTTTATTCAAAATATAACTAGCTAATCTGAATTTATTAATTGCAGGTATCAAAAGGCTGTTATCAGTATTAAAAGTTGTGTCAGCAATAAAATTGCATCCATGTATTTTATCTAATTTAGCTTTCCTGTGATTTGACTCTGTCTGCTGTCAGGTTTAACTGTTTTAGTCCCTGGAGCTGACAATAGCCCCATAGTATTTTCATTTTCTGAGCATCTCTGGTTCAAAGAACAGGTTGTTGAATGTTTTTGCATTTCAGTTCTGATTTCAGTAATTTGATAGTGATAATATATTACTGGCATACGAAAACTTCACTGAACAGCAATTAAAGCATCAAAGAAATTGAATTATGTGTTTTGTTTGATGTTAGGTTTAGGGCAAAAGGTGGTCTGTGCCTAGAGCATACCAGGGCTTAATTTTCAGGTCTAACCTGGTTTAATTCACTAGTGCAATGTCTATTCAAAAATTACTACTGTAAAGATTTTCTTCTCTTAGAAAACCTAGCCAGAAGACTTCAACATCAGCTGACTGTGATTCTGCTAGCATTGGTAAACATACTCTCTTCACTCTGCAGGAAAATCCATATTTGTTCACATATAGAAACAGTAACTACTCATCTTCCCTGGAGACATCAAACACCAAAGAAACATCTCAGGTATAGTAGGACTGTTTGCATCATGTGGACTGAGTATATTTCAGGGAGTGGGGCAGATGGGTGAGAGTGTGTTGTCACCTAATTAAACAATGCTACCTGGGAAAACTAAATACAAAGCTCCACCTCTTTATTTCTGTGCTTGACTAAATAGTCAGATGCTTAATAGAACATTTTCTCCTCGTTGGATTTTGCAGAATGTGATTTAAAATAGATGTGTTCAGCCAGCCTAAACCAGCTGACACTAACTTCAATGTTAAGAACCTTTTTTAAACATCTGGATAACAATGTTAATTTCCCTGGGATATGATAGTGAAAATGGGACCATTTAGTCCGTGGAAGAAACCAGATCAGACCCACTGATTTTTAATCTTGTTATGCCATGGTAAAACTGAAGAACAATGGATTTTTCATTTTTCTTTTTTTGTGAGATGCAGGTTAGATGTACAGAGATAGACAGCCATGCTAATGGAGGTGATAATGCTAATTTTCATGCTCCAGAACACAGTGTCTGGACCATATCTACACTCAAAATGGCCTATACATCACTAGAATAGTAATAAACATTTGTCTTCTCATTTTAATATAATGCCATCTGTTTTGTTACTTACTCAGGGTGACCTCTGAAGGGGGCAATAGTACCTACCACTCTGATTTTTGGTAGTAGTTATGGTGTAGGAGACAAGAAGCAACAATGTGTTATGTTTGTCAGTTGTTGGTTTGTTGGGTTTTTTTAAATTAAACTCAAAAAAAACCCCAAATGGAGCAATGGGACAAGACACACAAGTATCTTTTCCTTAGGCAAGTTAGCCTACTTAAGGAGTTCTGTAGAGAAATTTGGAGCAAACACATGTGCTTGGATCTTGTGTGGTGGTCTACTCTGGTATACGGTCTTTATTAACTGTAGACCTTGAGGGTGCTTCTGTCAGTAGGCTGCAGCCCAAACGAGCCAGGAGGGCAAATCCCTGTCTGCGTGTAGAGGACTGCACATGGAGAAGGCAGGCTCATGGCCTGCTGACAAAGGTAACGGTTTCGTGCTGGGATGTTCCAGGGTTGTTCAAACAGTTTCTCACAAAAAGATGTGACCTCACCTAGCTTGGAGTATGTATGGGCACACGAAACGTTGCGTAGCTGAACATGGCATGGCACAGAGTCTGAAATAACTGGCCCCACTGGTAGGCACGAGTTGTGCTGCACTAATATGGCCATGTGACTTCTGAGCATGCTGAACTTGTGTCTGCTTTCCTACGGCAGCTGTAGGCACAGCTTGAGGACAGGCTGAGCTGGGTAGATGTATACAAAGTATGTGGGAAATTCGTTAGTCTAATGCTCCGAGATGTTCGTAAATGGTTTGTCATGACCAGAGTATAGTGAGTCTGATGTGAAGGCTTGCCCTGTCTTGTCTTTACAGGAGAGGAATTATGGAACAAATATTCCCTGTTTTCATCGGGCTCCCTCTGATACAGTTCCGGTTTCAGGTACAGCCCTGTGCAATATTGTTGTAGAGCTACTTCATTTGATGATAGAAGGGGAACAGGAACTGAGTTTAGTTAGGAAAGGTATGCTTTTCTTTGAAGCAGTGCACTCTATTGACTGTGGCTTGTAGGGTCATTTTTGGAATAATGTAAGTAGCTGTATAGCAAGATGGAAGTTCTCCCTCGAGGATGGTGAAAGCTTATGCAACTACACGAAGAAAGAAAATTACAAGAAAGCTGGGGAGGGACTTTTTGTAAGGGCAGTTAAGGATAGAACAAGGGGAAATAGCTTTAAACTGGAAGAGGATGGGTTTAGATTTAGATATTAGGAAGAAATTCTTCACTGTGAGGGTGGTCAGGTACTGGAACAGATTGACCAGAGAAGTTGTGGATGCCCCCTCCCTGGAAGTGTTCAAGGCCAGGCTGGATGAGGCTTTGAGCAGCCTGGTCTAGTGGAAGGTGTCCCTGCTGATGGCAGGGGGGTTGGAAGTAGATGGTCTTTAAGGTCCCTTCCAATCCCAAACATTCTATGATACGTCTTCCATGTACAAACAGGTAGTACCAGACGTCTATGCAGTTGGGTACTTCAGTTGCAGGGGTGGTAAAACTGTGGATGTGTGGAGTAGGGGCTCTTGTTAGTGCACTCTGGGGTGCAAAAAGCCATGTGGAATCCTGTCACCAGGTGGGTTTTGTCTTCCCTCAGAAGCTGCGATGGTCCCAAAATTTCCACTCTGCTGGCACCAGAGTTGTGCCTGCTCTTCAGTCACTTCCACTGGTTAAAAGGGATCTAAGTAAGCACAGATACAAGACAAATCTTACTACCTCCCTTGTTGCTGTAGCCAATGCCCAGCCATAGTACCAAGAATCATTTCTGATTTGATGCCTGTCAGTACTGAGCTGATGCTGTCATGAATATTAAAATACTGTCTTTGCAATGCTTTCTGCTTATTCTAAGGAAAATTTCTAGCCATCACAATTTGAAGTTTTCTTTCTTTCCTCAACACTACCTTTATTTTTTATTTATTAGTTCATAATTTGAAACCGGCAGATATTCGGGTGATTGCTGCCCTGGGAGATTCACTCACAGTAAGTAAAGCTCACTGGATCACCATTGTTAAAGCAAGTAATTAATGAAAAAGCATTTCTGAATTTTTAACCTGAGAAATAGAATACATACAGTTACACCCTATTAAGCCAAACACATTTTTCACATATTCTTGTCCATATTCTACCTTGACTGACTGGTAATCAGATTGTGAGTCTTATCTGAGTGCACAGTTCCCATTTAAAGTCCACACGAGTACCACACAAGGAAGAGATACAAGATTAGATTGTGCAGCAGCAAAACCAGCCTGTTAGAGTGAGCTTGCAACAATTGCTTTTCTTTATTGATTCTAGGCAGCTCCCCAGGTATTGGCCTTCAAAGCTATTAGTAAGCAGTGTAAATAGAAAGAACAAATTCTGCAGCTAATTGTGTGTATATGTGTATATATCTTATATGATATATATATATATGATAATACCAAAGCCTATAAAGCCATATCCATTTATACTAACTAAATATTTGAGTAAAGTTGCAATAGATCATCAGGTGTGCCAAGTGTAATTTACCTTGAGAATTTTTTTAAATGCTGTTCCTGGAATTATGTAAACTTGTTACCCTTAGAGTAGCTGTGATTCTCTGATCAGTGATGACTGCTTCACTGCACATATTGTAATTCATGTTTCTTATGTGTTCTGTGCTAATTACCACATTAACTCCTTATAGTCTTGTTTCTTGGGGAAAATGGGGGAAGGAAGACAAAATCACTGTACCACTTTTTAATGTGAGGAATATTATCATAAATTATTCATTCAGGACCATTGCTATCTTATTTATTCCTTATGTAAATTTAGAATTATATGAATATTTTTAATATTCTCAACCATTTTTTTTCCCCACTTGATCTAATCAAGAAGTTGATAAAGAGGGTAATTCACTGGAGCAGAGTTAATATACTCTTAGTCCTTGATCCTCTTGAGACCAAGGATCTGTTATATTTTGGGAAGATGATATGGCTTGCTTCATTAACATACCCTGTAATTATTTTCACTAGGATCAGTCAGAGAGCTAGTTACTGTAGCAATTCTTATTTTCTGAAGGTGAACTCCTCTTGTTTTCTGCTTCCAGGCAGGTAATGGAGCAGCTTCCAAACCCCATGATGTTCTGGATGTCCTGACTCAATACCGAGGTGTTTCTTGGAGGTCAGTCTCAGTAATCCCCTCCCAATGGGAGGGAACCCATTTTCTTGGGTTTTGATATGCATGGTTGTTTTTTGTAACACATTGAGGCTTGTGGAGAGTGATTTTGACTTTACATTTTGCATGGAGGCACACAGTTGTACTTTTACTCATGATAAATAAAATATTCAAAATAGTGTCTAGAGTACAGTGTAGCATGGCTGGAATAGGCCTGGATACATGGGTGAAACAGGATCCGTGTTAAGGTGGTCCCTTTCTCCTCTGATGGTTATAGCTGTTGCAAAGGGGACTTCTAGATCCCAGTGGCATTGCACCACTTGCACATTCTGCACTTCCATCCCTGCTCTTTCTATATACCATCTGCTCTTCCCCACTGTGGCCCACGTCACCCATTTGTCCCATTTAAAATCAGCAGTCTATGAAAGGCCAAAATGGGATCTTTTTTGCTGCTGCTGTTTCATACACGGTATCTATTTCCTTGACCCTTTCCCAGTTTTGCTTACATCATGTAGAACAGTTTATTGATTATGAGCCAGTACAGTCTTTTACATATGCAGCATTTTATTAGACAGGTCAAAAAGCCACTCTGTAGAAAGACAATTGTGTTCACTTTTTATTCTGCGACTGTATTATTTAACACCAAACCTGTCAGGCTGATTTTCTGTTCATCATTTCTAATCCATCTGAAATACTGCAGCTTTGTAAGAAGTTTAAACAGGTACTAGAGCATTTCAAAATATTATATTCCAAATTAAAGGGTTGATATAGAAGTGTTGTAAGTCCAACTTTTTATATTTTGATCTTTAATAATATTTTAATGACATTTAGATGGAAAAGTATACTGGCATTCTATACAGCATGAAGGAGGGTAAAGAGCACAGAGACATATGGTGAATTTTACCAGTCTAGTGGTATTCTTCCAGTTGAGTGAAATGAAAGGGAAAAGCATTGTGTATACTTATCCCTGTGAAATATATGCTTTTAGAGCTTTTTGTTATGGGTACAAAGGATTTGTTAACTCAAAGCGAAAGTAATAAATATTTTAATAGGTGCAACAACAGCAAAGATAGCAGCTTTTAAAAATTCTCATTTCTTTTAGTTAGGTTTGAACTTAAGACACATGAGAGAATTGAAAGGGCAGCTAGTGTACAGGCCTTTTAATATAATTGTTATGATTACAACAGAGTCTCTGATTTCACGACCCCATTGGTATGCACACAAAGAGCTTGCTTTGACTTAGAACTACCAGCAGAGAACGTGTGGTGTACATGTGTAGAAACCCCATAAGGGGGAGCTGCCTTACCAAGTCCATCATACCTTGGAACATTTTTTTCTTCTTTCTTTTTAACAGTGTTGGAGGAAATGAAAATATAAGCACAGTCACGACACTAGCAAGTAAGTGCCTTTTTCTGTAAACTCCATAAACATCTGGAGCTGTTTATTAAAACAGATGTTATTATAAAAGAAGACATGAAGAAAGTTTTACAATTTGTAGCATGACAGAACCAATCCCTTTATATTCAATGTCCAGTGCTGAGTGAAAGTTGCATAACAACCAGGCTGTAATTTGCTGTGCATGACTTAACTATGTATTTTGTAATTCCTATGGGTTTAGTTGTTTCAGTATTCTTCTGTTGGTTGTAACTCTGTCCAAAATATGTTGGGGACAGATGAATCAAAGATCTTAGATCATAGCCTAAAGAAACTATTTTGACTGTATGGGAAAGTTGTTTTAGGCAGGAGCAGAATCATGTTACAAGATCAGATTTTATATGCTTCTTAGAGGTCAGGGCATTTTAGATCTGGGGTGTTTGTAAGGCTGGTTTGTAACCTAAGATCTAGAAGGGAATCTTAAATCCTTGGGATTAATACATCTGGGGAAATAAGGCTAAAGGATTTGATTCCAACCCATCTGCAGTTAGAGTATGATGACATGAGAGTCTCCTGCCTGAGCACAGGCTTAGTTAGCCTCACTTAACAGGCAAAATGGCATTGCTAGCCAAGATGATCACATTAGGTAATGAGAGATCTGAATTAATGAAATTCAGAAATCTTGAAGGCAAGGAAATAGTTGTACGGTGACAAATCTCCACGGTTATTATACTTAAAGGTTAATTTTTTGATAGGTATCTCTTGAAGCTTTTTAATGGTCTTTTACGAAGGTCTAATCTTTATAACCTCATTTGTTACCTGCTGAAGTAAGCAACATTTCAGGGTGCTGTCTTTTTCTGCAGACATTCTTCGTGAGTTCAACCCATCCCTGATAGGGTATTCCATTGGCACTGGAAAGGAGACTACAGATAATGCTGTGCTCAACCAAGCTGTGGCAGGGGATTGCACAGAGTAAGAGGAAAACTCTTTTAATTTTAATAGAAAGTTGATTTTTCTTTAAACCTCTAGCTAAAAAAGGCCCCAACCTCCCAAAAGGAGTGCAATAATGCTGATAGACAAGCCCAAATGTATTTCTTTAGCTCCTCTCTAGTGTGAAGGCCACGAAGTGTAATAAGGGCTTTGCAACGTTTCTAATCTGTATCAAATACATTAGCAGCAAAAGTGATGCTTTCTCTAGCGTTTTCAACCAAGAGGCACAAAGCATTTTACAAGCACTACTTGGAAAGCTTCACATCCCTATTGTGAGGCAGAGATAAAAATATAAAAAAATACCCCTGTTTCACAGGAGGTATATTCAAACCCTCTGGTCCCAGAGTTTGTGTAGAGAAATTGAGACAGAGAAAGTTGTGAATTGCTTATGGTCAGTCTGTGGCAGAGCTAGGAATTGACCACTATGCTCAGTCTTCAGTGAAATTCACATCATGCCTTTTTCCCTTGGGAACACTTCTTATGAGGCATGCATCAGTGGCTTGAGGCCATGTAATAACTGATATATGCATGGATTCTTCAGCAATACGTGTATCAATAGCATCCATCTGATGTTGGGAAGGAGTAAAGTGCATTTATTTTGTGGCAGCACAGTGTATTTTCTATATGATTTGTAAAAGTGTAGCTATGCAGTGTTTGCAAAGTGGTCAAGTGCCTACAGGATGCTTATTTTTTTCCTCGCTTTTTTTCCCATCACTGTTTCAAGGTACAGCCTTTTTTGGGTATCATACCTCTCATTCAATGAAAACTGAACTTCCACATGGGTTTTTTTAGCCATTATGTGAAGGATGTCCATTCATCAGCTTTCCTCCTTGTCTTGCTGTATATGCAGGACTCCTCTTTATTTTTTTATTATTTTATTTTTATTATTTTATTTTTCTTTTATATTTAGAGATGTCCCTGCTCAGGTTAGAAGACTGGTGGACCGAATGAAGAACGATACTGTGAGTCTGATATGTCATTAGTATCTTTAGAAAGATGAAGTTATGTGGCATCACAAGTTTCTAACAGACCAACAGCAGATGCCAAACATTAAAGCTGCGGGTACAGCAATGTACCATGTAATAATATTCCCCAGTGCAGACTGTGAGTCAGTACAAAATAATCTACAGCTTTGTCTTAAATCGATTTGTACCAGTATGTGATAGTTACTATCAAACCCAGATAACTGTAATCTTCTTATCATTTTTACTGCAAGTGGCAGGCAAATTCAGTGAAGTTACTTCCTCACCCAATCTACGTCACCCTGTAAGATGACAGAACATTTTCTCTGCTAGGATTTTGCTGTGGTACTAGTAATTGTCCTGTAAGCACATGGTTTTGCCAGCAGTAATGATACGTGTTAGGATATTGAGGACAAGCTTTTCCAAGTGGCAAATCATGTGGAGTGAACATGTGAAGTGAAGAAAGAGCTGGTTTTCTTAAAAAAAAATTTAGTCCCTTCTTTCACTTAGTTATCATCTGATTTTTGACTTACATGTTTGTTGTTAGGAATTATTTGATTAATGATCTGTTAAACACATATTAGGCTGAGGATTGCTTGCATATTTTTCACCTCAACTACTGCTTTGAATGTTTGTGCTATTCGTAATTTGACAAATGTGCTATGCAATCAGTGACCTAAGTTACATGATATTATTTTGGCTCTGCAATTGTTCATTTGGATAGCAGCCAAAAAGCCTTCAAGATAACTGTGTGTGCATGTCAGGTACAAATACTCTGGCGAGTACATATTGGTAAAAATATTTGCAGTACCTTCCTTTTTGGTTCACTTTCTCGTAAACAAGATTTCACCCTGATGGCTCTATCTGAAATGAGATTAAAAGGGATAGCAGCTAACAATGAAGCAGTTGGATGGTTTTCATTCAAACCATTCAAGGCTTTTAAGTACTGCTTTGTCCTATTTATCAGCTTGGAAACATCACACAACAGAAAGGAATGCAAATACCTTTTATTTAACTGATAAACTTCTTTTTTTATTTAACTAATAAACTTCTTTCTAACTAGAAAGAATGTTCATATATCATATAGGTCATATATCTTTAAGAGCTCTTTCTTTTTTTTCCTCTCTCTCTCATTTTAAAACACCTGTTTAGTGCAGGAGGAAAATTTTCCCCTCTATTAATTTGGATAAGTACATTCTGAGACCAAACTACCAGCGTGTTTACCAGCTGGGCTATGTTGTCTCTGCTTTTGAAGATAGATTTATTTTTTTTTAAACCACTTGATTGCTGCTTTTCTTAGTGGTGTTTTGCGCAGAAATTGAAGTGTTAAGATATTGAGTACATCAACTACATGGTACTAAGCACATTGAAACCTTTCCTCAAAGCTAAGAAGGTGTGTGTTTACTGAAGCATAATTACCTTGCATTAGCTAGCCCTTTATAAAATCCTTCCAGAGGAAAAAGTGCTATAATTTTTTACCAGTATTGTTAGATAGAGTTAATATTGTCCCACTATTCTTCGCAGTTTGTCTCACAGCAAGACTGAAATATATTGCCCTCCAGGGTTTTCCAGCAGGATAGCTGCATTATTTATGACTCAGTAAAACATATACCATCATTTTTGCAATGAAGATGTGTTCCTAGGACTGCAGGAGGAGTCACTCCGTGTAAACACAAGATATTACTAAGAAAAGCATACAGATTGATTTCCAGCAATAGTTTTCTGAAGCAAATAATTTTTCATAGTACTACTGATACTGTAAACCTTATTTAGATTATAGTAGTTTCTACACCTTCAGTCATGACTACTAATGCATTTTTGTTGTGGATACTCAGAGAACTATAGCCAGGTATCCAGAGAAATGTTAAATTTGTGTTTAATATGTTGTCTGCCCCCCTCCCTTTTTTTTTTTTTTTTTTTTTTTTTTTTTTTTTAATTAATAGCTCTCCTTCCATCTCCTTCTATGTGCAGAGAATAAATTTGCAGACTGACTGGAAACTCATAACACTTTTCATAGGAGGAAATGACCTATGCAAATTCTGCAACAATCCAGTAAGTCCTCTGGGGCCTGCAGCATGAACAGGGCCAGTCTAGGCATAGGGTCTCTATATATTGCAGTGGGTGAGAGGGCAGAACTCATTGAGTGAGACCAAAATAAGGTAGGTCTCATTTGTGAAGCTCTGGAATGTAACTCTACTGAGACCTTAAGGTTGTTCAACCTGATGTTATGATAAATGAAGTTATATCTTTAGAATACCTGTAAATTACATAATTGTGGCTACTTTGTTTTGCTGTTAACTAAGATAACTTTCCATTATCTAGTCACTTTACCACCTGTAGATAAAAGGTCAAGGGTTTTTGCTCTTCTTTGCCTTGTAAGTAGTCACACTCCTAAGTCTTACTTGGTGCTCTCTGACCAGTTTCAGTGGTATGGGAATGCTTCTACCCACATCTCATGCTGATGCAATTATATATAATGTAGTATATATTGTATATTTATGTAATATATATACCTACTGTATATAGCCTTTGGTATGTGTGAGTATAGAGGAGGTGAAATGCTGTGGCAGACTCCTCAGTGGTGAGACTTACATACTTATGAGCAGCAGAGCACGTACTTTTCATTCTGCATGATTAATTTCAGAAAAGGAAAAACAGCAAAGCAGCACAGTAAGATGGTTATAAAACAAGGAAGAAGCAAATTAACCATCCCTGCCTTCTGCTCCTGACCCAGACACAAAATGGCAGTTGCACATGACTGTGGGTAGCAAGGAGATAGCACGCCTGCATCCAGACATCACAGTGATGCTTCCTTTATGTTGCACAGCTACAAATAGTGCCAACCACAGTGCTCTTGGTGAGCTGTGATTTAGGAAACGAATAAAGGAACTGAGCTGTCTAGTTGTGTAGAGTAGGCCAGTGATGCTTTCAGTGAACTACTTCTGCTTGAAATTAAATCAAAGGGAATTCAGGCTGAAAATAAGCCAGGCATTGCTCATAGGGAAGTTTATTTGACTGTTGAATAATTCCACAAGTGAAGAGATAAAAGTTGGATTACTTGAGACAATTAAATTAGAGGGTTTAAACCACTCAAATGGAACAGGCAAATTTCGCTGCTGAGAGGCAAGTATATAAAGCGATTTAATTCCCAGATAAACGCCTAATTTTTGCCAGTTATTATTTGTGGCAAGTAACGAGCATATGGGAGGCATGTTGCTAATATTCCATACAGCTTAAACAAACTTACATAAACTGATCTCTCCCAAAGACTGTCCCTGTTAGTAAGTTGTTAGCCATGCTTTTAAGACTGGCCCGAGCAAGCATAGGGATGGGGGATGTTGTGATGTCTGGGAGTGCCCCCTGAATTTGCTCCCTCACTGGTACCCAGTGGCTGCTAGATCTTTTGTTGTGAGTGAGACAGCTGTGATGGGAAAGAAGAAAAGCTGAGACTAGACAGTTTTGCCTAAGACTCTGTTTCTCTTGACCTAACAGTTAGAAACATGAATGCTGCTCTGAGAAACTCCAGCTAGGCATGATTGTACCTGCTTGAGTAAACTGATAAAAAAATTCAACTCTCTTGCTTCTACAGGTACACTATTCTCCTGAAAACTACACCTACAATCTGCAAATCGCTTTGGACATACTTCACAGAGAGGTAAAATGAACTTTTCTAGTACGTGGGAGTGGGGATCATGTTCTGTTTGTAAAGCAGTTGCTGCCTATTGATTGAGAATTTAGTTCCTTGCTTTCATTTGTGGAGCGCTGCTGTATGCAGAGATGTTTGCTTGCAGGAAAATCTTTGTGAGAGGCAGGAAGGGCTGGAGAAGTATTTTACCAAAGGAATAAGGATGTACTTGATTCTAGTTGATGTGCTGCAGACAAATAATGTAAAAATTATTGTAAAAATTATTTGAACAAACATATGGTATTCAATGACTAGAATATGCTTTGCTCATTCATTATACTGCAAATAAGTATAGTTATTGTGGTCATTAAGAGAGAGATTCTGATATTTCAGATGAGGGTGAGAATGATGAGAGTACTTGGAGAGTTAGCAGGTGTCTGAGCTGTGCTGAGACCTGTAACAACGTGTTTGGATCTTTTTGAACTCCTCATTTTCAAGTGACCAGCCATCAGCATTTAAAATAGAACTAGGCAGCACAGGCAGGGGCTATAATTTGCTATTGTATGTGTGGGGCATTAATTATTGAGAAAGTACTTTGAACACCTCTGTTATAAATAATGCAAGTTGCCTGAATCAGAGGCTGTTACCTGAGGTCTGCTGTGGCTGTGTAGAGGCCAAGATGGCACTCTGTGCTCCAGGCATCGACTATGGGTTTGCTTAATCTCTTGGCAGGTTCCACGGGCATTTGTGAACCTGGTGACAGTGCTTTCCATAGCAAGCCTCCGGGAGCTGCACACATCAGAAAATACCTGCCCAAAGCTGCTTATGAGGTTTGAAGATGATTTATGTTGCAGCTCTCACTGTTGCTCACAGAAGGCTGCAAGGTCTTCTCAGGACGCTGTTTTTCTTGAATGGAAAGGTTCTAGTATTTCAGACCACCAAATGCCTTCCTCTGTGTATGCACATGTACCTACACGTTGGTTTCAACACAGCATTTAGAAATATGTCTGTCACTGTCTCTGTATCTAAGCCCTGCTGTTACCACTTTTTGTGAAGGTGCCATTTTAGTAACTCATTGTGTGCACTGCAAGGGCGTTCAAGCCAGAGCAGAAAGACCTCAGCTGTGCACTCTTTGGGAAGAGACAGGGAAGAGATTAAGACACAGAGTTTTCTTAGTTGATTGCTTTTGCTTTATTTACAGTTTTACCTTTCTGTAGTCTTAAAACTCTCCCTCTTGCTTCTGTAGTTTCTGATCTCTGTAATCTCATTTCTGATTATTAGTTTTATTGTTAATTAGTCTCTCAAGTAGATGCCTGGGATGCTTAATTGCACTACCTCTTGCCTCATGGCTCAACAATCCTCCCAGGTCAGTGTGAATCCATCACTGAAGTGGCAGGTGTGCCGCAGGTGGGGTCCAGCATGTCCCCCTAGACTTGCTCCTGGCAGTGCTTGCTTGGTTTCAGAAAAGCAAATCTCTGTTTTTCTGGACAGACAGGTAGAATAACCTTGTCCTGTGAATGAAGGCACCCATTGCTCCTCCTGCTGTGTGGGCCAAGGACCTGGAACAAGATACCATCAGCATAGACTGTAAGAGTTAGCTTGGAGGCCGGAATTGTAGGAGAACTACAGGGTCTCCTGTACCCAGGTGCCTCTCTAAAATGTCTGCTTTGAATCCATCCTGCCAGACACCTTCAGCCACAAGGGACTCTGCAGCTGCTGACAGGGAAAGTACAGACACCTGAAGGACCCCATGAAAGAAGGTGGTTTCACAGGAGGAACATAGATACAACCTTTTTGTTCTGATTTAAGGGCTCTTTGACAGCTGTCAGTGGAAAATTAGCTCTGAAATACAGAGTGCTGGAGCTTCCAATAACAAGTTGTAGTTTTTCTTTTTAACAAGGGTTCCTGGCTAGAGCACATTTGTACCTCAAGACCCTAATAATCGGACAAGGTTAGTTAGTGGAGCCTTTAAGATTAGATTATTTCAAGGTACCTTTAACCTTTTCTCATCATCTCAGGTGTCACGCTGAATTTAACATTTGCCTGTCTGGCAGCAAGCCAAGTTTCCAGGGTACTAAGCAGACCCTGTGTGGGATAATAAAAGCCATGCTACTGAATTTACTGAATTGAAGAAGGACCTGAAGGAAGCTTTTGATCTTGAAAGCTTGTGTCTTTTCCCGAGAGTAGCAAATAACCTAAAAAGAGATAATATCTCCACTAATTTTGCCTTGCTTAAGTTACTGAAACACTTCTGAAAACACAATTTAGGTTTGTATTGCCTTTCATATAGACGTACTGTAGAAGTAAAATCTTGTTTTGTCAGTTGCTCTTCATTAAGACAATTTTGGAGGTGGTAGGGATCTGTGTATACTTTATACATATCAACTGCGTCTCTATAGGAGGTATTTCTCTAAGAACTCTCTCAGGGATGCTTTACTGTGATCATATGACAGGATCCAGTTGGAACTGGATGATCTTTAAGGTCCCTTCCAACCTATAACCTTCTATGATTTTTAGAAGGAGTCGTTTTTCTTATTTGGATTTGTCAAGTAATAATGAGGCATGCCCAGGAAGAGGGAGAATCAGACTGAAAAATTCATATCCTAGAAGGATCAAAATTTCAGAAAGGGAAAAATGTGGCCAGCATGAGTTCACAGAAACTTTAAATGGCTCAGGTTGTAATGGTTCTCTAAAGATGGAGATTCCAGCATCAGTCTTGGCATCTGTTTTGGGATGTATACCATCCTCCATGTGAAATATCCTGCAACTTGTGACCTCTCAGTTGATTAGAATGAATTTGTGGGAGCTCTGTCTTCAAGGATGCTTGCATAATTCTGCTGAAGCAAAACATGTTGTCCATGGTTTATGAATGGTTTTTGTGGTGAGTTGGCCCCAGGTGACAGCCAAGCACCCATGCAGACGCTCATTCACCCACCCCAGAAGCATGGAGGAGAAAACAAGAGGAACACGAGCAAGAAAACTCATAGGTCAAAATAAAGACAGGGAAGTCACTTACCAAGTACCATTGCAGCCAAAACAGACTGAATATAAGCTGCCCAGAGAGGTTGTGGAGTCTCCATCTCTGGAGATGTTCAAAACCCGCCTGGACGCTTTCCTGTGCAACCTGTTGTAGGGAACCTGCTTTGGCAGGGGGGTTGGACTAGATGATCTACTGAGGTCCCTTCCAACCCGTATGATTCTGTGTGACTTGGGGAACTTAATTTATTGTCCATTAGTATAAATATTTAATTACTGGTTTAGGTATTGAGAAATGAACAAACAAAAAAGTTAAACACTTAAAGCACCTATCCTCCCTCATTCCCACCCTCAACTTCACTCCAAGCACCTCTCCCTCCCCCTTTGTTACTGCCACAGGGTACCTTCAGCCCCTTCAGTGAGGCATGGGTGGTGCAGGGGGTTGGGGTCTGGACGTAATGGTTATCTCTCTGTTGCTCCTTCCTTCTCACCCTTGTCCTGTGCTCCAGCATGAGTCCTTCAGATGTGTGCCTGCTCTGGTGTGGACTCATCCACAGGCTGCAGTCCTTTTAGGGGAGTGCCTGTTCTGCCAAAAAACCTGCTGTTATTCTCTCCTCCTCACCCTCTCTAGTGTTTTCTGCCCTTTCTTAAACAGGTTTTCACAGAGGCCTCACTGTCTTGGCTGACAGGCTCAGCTGTGCCTTGTGGTTGGTTTGCTGAAGCTGGCTGGAACCAGCTGTGTCCAGCATGGGCATCCCTGGCCTCTCCTCACAGAGGTTACTTCTGTTGCTGAAACCTTGCCTGGGCACCCAGTACAGTTTTTGCTTGCATGGACTCTTCTCCTCACCTTATGTTAATTAATTCATCCCCAATAAATGTGTTTCTGCTCAAGAGTCAGGACTGTGCAGAAACTCGGAGATGAGAGGCTGCTCCCATTGAGAAATCTTAGGCTGCTCCCAAGAGAAATCCCTCTTGAAGAAGCTTTTAACCCTGCAACTTGTGAGCTCAGGAATGAGGGGAAAAAAAGAGGAGCGGATCTCAGCACCATGCTCTTATCCCACAGGCTCCTGTGCCCTTGTGTTGTAAACCCTAAGGACAATTCCAATGAGTTGAAGAAGTTGGTCTACTTTAACAGAAGGTATCAGGTAAGTCATTTGGCATTTGTTACAGGTATAATGTCATCCTCCTGTTGATCAAGGGACCACCAGAGGGGCTCATATTTGGAGGTGAGGGAAAGTTTCCACTCTTAATGACATCTTTGTAGTTGTGGGTTTGGGTTTTGTTTTTTTTAAAAAAAAGGATGAGGGGGAGATGGGAGTAGGCTCAAGGTCTTCATGACTCTGATTCACTGAAATAACAAAACAGATGAGAAGAAAAATTGTTAAAGAGCCATAGAACCTAGAGTATGTCAGAGAGCCAGCAATTTTTTGATCATTTATCTCGTTGGAGGTCAGATTAAATCAAAGATCATGATAACTCGGGAACAAACTTCAGGCATGGGATGTCAGCCAAACCAAAATGCTTCGGTGGTTCTGGAAGAGCATCTTTTTGACAGAAAATCTAATTGCTGAGCAGGTTGCCTGCTCATGTCAGTCAGGCAGCCATCCCCAGGCTACCTCTCTGCAAAGAAGCCCAGTATGTGTGTCTCAAAAATTGACAGCTGCGGTGGCTGTCTGGTGTGAGCTGGAAACCACAGCCATGTCTGGGTTTCTGCACTAGGGGTGGGGAACCCCTGGGTGAGATGTAAATGGACAGAGGGACTCAATCAGCTGAATGTAAAGAAGGAATGATAACAACTTTTCTTTGACTCTTTAGGAGAGAACCCGACAGTTAGTGGAGAGCGGAAGGTATGACACTACAGATGATTTCACTGTGGTTGTGCAGCCATTTTTGATGAATGTGAACATGCCAAAAACACAGGTAAAAACCAAAACCACTCCTACCTTAAATTCTGGTGCAATTCCACTGACTGTTCAAAATTGTCTTGGCTGTAAATGCGACCAGCAGTTTTCTGGCCTAGTAATTATTATATTCAGTTGAGTTAACATCCAAAATGGCAGAAAATGCTTATGGAATAACTTGGAGATAATGGGCAACAAGAATACAGACCTTGAAGACATGATTTTGTGCATTGAGTCCACTCTACTGCAATCAGACAACAATGCAGTAGATATTTATGTCAAAGTCTTTACCAGGGAGCAGTTAACCTATATCCCCCATGCATCACACAGTCCTTTCCAGTACTTTGGTAAATGACTTCTAGTATGAAAACCTACATGCTTCAAAAGACTGTAATGTGTGAATCTCAGGGGAAATAAAAGAATACAATAAATATCTGTGCCCAGGTATTCTGTACCCACAGTCATAGTGATCTTATTACTTTGGAAATCCTATATTAAAAAGCTTTAAAAGGCTGCTTAGTTCTGAGTTATTAGCATTCTCTGGCCTGGTTTAATTCTCTTGGCCTCAGAGGCCTTTACAGTTACTTTGATTTGAAGTCAACTGGGATATCTCACTGGAAGAGAAAGGGATAAGGCACAGCTTGTTGCACATTTACTGCCTCTGTGACAACATCCATCTCATTCTCTAGGAAGGGTTACCAGACAGTTCATACTTTGCCCCAGACTGTTTTCACTTCAGCCAGAAGTCTCATTCCCAGGCTGCACGTGCTTTGTGGAACAACATGGTAAGATTTTTAAACGTTGTTTTGGTCGCTCCTTGTCTGCTCCATCCTGCCCTTGGCAGCCAAAAAAACCCCAGTGAGCTACTAAGTAGCTAGCATTCTCTCTTCTGGACCATTAAATGAGTTTACAAAGGAAAAGAGTGATCATGTGATGAAAGGTCACCTGAACTATTAAACCACCCTGAGATTTACTGGTTTAATATGAATATGTTAAGGTTGGGGTGTTGGACTTCTCTCAGGGAGACGATGCCTGCCCGGCACATTGATCATCAGGCCGTGTTAATGGTTGTACGGAATTAGCCTTTTCAGTATGCAAAGCAGCAGTGCAGGGAGGCAGGCGCCGGGACGAGAGCAGTGCACTGCAGTTGTCTTGCTGTGCCGCACAGGTGGTTTCCACTGGCTGGTAGCACAGCGTTTTCTGTTGCTCTCTGATACTCATCTACTTTTCTTCTGTGCTGCCCCCTTTTTCCCACAGCTGGAACCCTTAGGGGAGAAGACAGATAATCAGCAAATAGAAGATGAGATTGTTCTCAAATGTCCAAGTGAGGTAAATTACAAGGGTTACCTGTGTTTGTGTAGAGGTGCTGGGGGTGACCTGGAGTGCTGGCTCCATGAGAGGGGTCTGACTCTTCCCTGCGTAGTTTGTGCCACTGCCACCAGTAGCAGTATGAGCGCTCCCCCATGAAATGGAGGGCAAGATTGTCCTAGGAGTAAGCTTCTTCAAAGCCACACATGATGGCTGGCCAAAACACAAGGGAAGGGTGTTTGGCCTACGTGGTCAAAACTATTAAGTATCCACACTAAATGACTGAGCTTCAGTGGGGGAAACAGCAGCAATGGCACCAGTCAGCACGGCTCTGCAGAGGTCACTGAGACTACCCTGCAGTGGGACAACAAGCTTATTGTAAATCACACACAGCAGTGTCCAAAGCTTGTTCTGTAAATTCTGTCTGTGTAAAAATAGTGCCCTAGGTTTACACTGTTATTGTATGGATTTTTAAAGTGGCATTTCTTTCTTTCTTTTTTTTTTTTTTTTTTTTTTTTTTTTTTATTTTTTTTTATTAATCTCTGGGATTCATTTGCATCAAGTTGCTAATCATCTACAGACATCTGAGAACTGAAGGTTGAGAAATGGAAATCTCTGTGTATTCTTCTGATGCTTTGCATTGACTCAGATTGCCTTGTTTTGTAGGCTGAGCCATTCCTGAGGACATATAAGAACAGTAATTACACATACCCTAACCAAACTCCAGTAAGTGTCAACATCACTATCCTACTGTTACTCTGCTGCATCTGCTCCTGTATGGTAGCCAGATGAGTCATGCTCTGCACTACAGATGAAATCAGTCTCTGGCCAAAGGGGTTTTGGAGGCTGAGTGCATGGCAGGGAACAGGAAAGCCTTCCCTGAGTTAAGGCAAAATGCATCTGGAAACACCTGTAAGAACACATGCTCAGACAGCACTGTTATCAGTACAGGATGCTGCTCTAATCTGAGCAATACTAAATATGACTATTGAATTGAGCAACTAAGACCTGTCTGGTTAATTACATGCTAAACAGACTTTGGTTTATCCACCTGGCCTCTACAAGAACCACCTAGTTACTACTGACTGTATTTCCTAGCCAAATGGTATTCAACTTTCTTCTTCTCTTTAGAATTATGGAAGCCAGCTGCCATGCAAGGACAGGTTTCCATCCTCCCCTCCGGCAACTTCAGGTATTCTTGCCTGTTTTGTGTTAAGAGGCTGAATTACTTTCAACTGTCCTCCTTATTTTTGCTGAAAAGACTGCTGGACTGTGAAAAATACTGCTCAGAAAAGATGTCATGTTTTTCAGCAGCTGCTTAATAGATACGATGTTATACTGTCACTCAAGGTAACATTCTGGCTAAGTAGCTCCACTTAACTCACTGCCAGTGGAGAACTTCAAAATATCTCTTGATAAAATCAAAACTTATGTGCTGACATAGCCTATAAGTGATACCACCAAAAATTTGGGGAAGGAAACTGGAAATCTAGCTTCCTGCATGTTAGTCTAGGACATAGCAGTATTCAGTTTTTCAAATAACTTCATGTTGTCTTCTCCTTGGTCCTTGACTGTCTTACAGCTTTAATATGCTGTTCCTGCTTTGTCTGATACCGCTTTGTTTTACCTTCATCTTGGTGCTGGATATTGTTTGCATCTTACTGTTATTTTCTCCTTGCTCTTCTCTCTCTTTGGTAGCAATGTTATTCAGCAAATGGAGATGCTGAATAATATGCATATGCTGCTGCTACAACCTCTGGGTATCACAAAAACATGTCTGAACATCAGAATGCACAATGGCAAGTTTCCCACATACACTGGTGAAAAAGAATGGCTATTTCATATCCAGGTTCAGCTGCATCTCTTTCCTTTGCAGTGCATTCCCTAAAGCCAGCTGATGTGAAAATCATAGCAGCCCTTGGGGATTCTTTGACGGTAAGAAGATAGTGTTTTTACTGTTCTCTTGGTAAAACTACAAACATGTGCCTGTTCTGGTAGAGGGGTAATAGCTGTTGTACCTGGAAGCAAAGACATTCATTCGTGGATGACAATAGATCTAGCAGGTAGAACAAGAAAGAAGGTGTCAGTTCTCCAGCACTCTGTTCCCCCCACGCACATATTCACATGCTTTTGAAGTCAGGCAAAAACACAGTCGAATCCTTTAAAGAGGTGCTTAAATAGTTTGCTGAATTGGAGACAGAAGAGATCAGATGCTGTTGAAACTAATGGGACATAGCACAAGCCTTAGGTTTTTTTTAATAGGAACAGACTGGTGAACCTGTTCTTAAGCCTCAGTTCTTTCAGGAACAGAGTGTGACTAAGGGATGTTGGATAATAGCATTATATTCATGTTAGTGTTAATGAGATAAGGATGTACAGGGGTGAGAGCCCTCTGGCTTTATCTGTTTCAGAAGGTATTCAATATTTTTATTGTGCCTGTTTTAACTCCTAGGTAATTTCTTTATCAAGACATAGTTCTCACTGAGGATTATCATCTTTGGTAGCCTAGAAGGAATATGTCTCAAGGTCCAGACATCCTATATTCCAATTATGCCTTTCTGCCTAATGTTTTCATACTAGTCAAAGACAGAAACTCTACAGCCAGCTCAAAGGGAACACTGGGCAGAAAGTCTTAACTGGAATATAGGTTTCTCTGAATCTGAGCCTTAACAACAAAGACATTGTGTGTACAAACTGTGAAGCTTTACAACTCTCTGGCAAGCCTGTTACTAAAACTCCTACACATAGGAGGCTACTGAAATAAACAGAAGTATTTAAATGCAAACCTGCAATGTTGACAAATGAAAGATATTCTGTGTATAGCTGTGGTTGTGATATTATGATATCCAGGAGCCTGCAGATGTCTCTGCTTCTAAGTATAGTCTGTAGGAACTGAGAATGAAATCTGCTTTCATAGAAGGTGCAGTTGCTGTCTCAGAGCTGCACTTGGCCCATGCATAGTTTTTTTGGAACACCAGTCTTCCCTTAATTCAATAAAGCCAGAAAATAAGAGAAAATTTACTATCGTGGTTTAATCTGAAGTAGCAGCAAATAGTCTGTCTAGCCTTGTGCTGTACAGAAGTACTATCCTGAACCCAAAATTATCATGAAACTATAGTATCGCAGCTGGCAGGCACTCTGCTTCTGAATTCTGGTGCTGTTTTAGGAGAGATGTAGTTGCTAGCTTGCCTCTTTCTTCAGGGTAAGTGTAGAGAGTGCTTTCCTCCTTGCTGTAGTACTACTATAATTCTCTCCATTTAGCACAGTACTTTTAAGATCAGTGTAAAAGCATTATGGTGCTTCTTTCTGAGATTGTTTTCTCTATTGAGTTCATATAGTGTTTCTTATCATTAGCCGAAAAGTTTTATGTGTTTGTTTGAGAGGTTTTCAAAATTCTTGAATAATACAACTATAAATGAATTATTCAGCTCACCTAGACCCATGAGAAGGAAGCCTTTGTTCCATGGCTCCATTTCGTGTGTCATATACAATATGATGCTCATAAATAATTATGGAAGGTATTGATTGCGTTCTTCAGGAGGAAGGTTGGGAAAAAGCCAGATGCCTTCTAAAGCTTTTGAAGAGGCACATTAAAAAGTAAATAAAATTACTCTCTATGAATGACTATTGTATTAGTAATTGTGCTTTAATTTCATTTGGTTAATGAAAAATAACGTCCAGGCTGGAACAGGAAGTGCCTCAGATCATCTCCTGGATTTGGACACTCAATACCGGGGACTGTCTTGGAGGTAAGTCTTCAAGAAGAGTGATGAGGAGATGTGTATTCTCCTGTAAAGAATATTATTCTCTTCCTCATGTTTTGGGGCTTTCAGCTGCCAGAAAGCTGAAAATTCTAGCATTTCTTGTGAAGATGTATCAAGATCCAGGATTTGTCATAAAGGTGGCTTCACAGAAAATGTTTTCTACAATGGATTTTAAGGTTGCCTTTTGACTTCTCTCATACTTTCATCTTTGGCTGCTCATGACAGTTTGTATTTTTTTGATGGGATGGCAAGTTGGAAATCTACAAAACTGGAGAAAAAAACACTGGAACAAATAAGTCAATGCTGGTTGCTTTTGGGATGACTTCTCGAAGTTTGCTATTACTGAACTTTTTGTAGCACCATGGAAAAAAACTCATTTAACTGGAGAACTTTTACCACATGCAGCACACAGTCGTAAAAGATTACATTTTTTTGCTGTGACAATGTAGCTCAGTTGACATTGACTGAAGCAGTTCTGTGCTGTTCTAACCCCTCTCCATAAGCTGGAATGTGTCCTCAGTGTGTCCTGCCAACTGAAAAGCTCTAGAGAGCATACCCCTATGCAGGAAGCAAGAGAAGAGATTGAGGAGCTGCTGCTGCAGCTCTCATCACCCAGGGGCTGGCTCTTTGGTGCTGCCTGTGGGTTGCTTCATGAGACTGGAACTGGCCTCAAAATCGACCTTCTAATCTGTAATACTTTAAGGCTCAATGATTTGAGTATGTAGCTGTCTCAGGCATTTTTCTGCCATTTCATAATGATTGACTATACCCCCATAGAACTGCAAGGTCATTAAATCCTTCTGACAAGCATCTTTACCACTGAAACCTCAGCTGTTCTGCCCAATTGCACTTCCACTTCTGTCCTCTTCATGCAATCTGATAGATTGATAGTTACCAAATTAGTCACCCTTTGCTTTTTCTCATGCTGTGTGGTAAGTTTTCACTTTGCTTATTGTCTGTGTCCAGCTAAGTGATGAGTGATTGGGATTTCTCTTTTTCTCATTTCAGTATTGGAGGAGATGAGTCATTAGAGAACGTGACAACTCTACCTAGTAAGTAAATGCTTTGCTAGATCTAACTGGCAAGATTGAAGAGAAGGAATGGGCTGATTTCTGATACATTTACAGAGAGCTCTTAAGTATCTCAAAGCTGTTTTAGAGTAATTAACAAGAACTACCTTTCAAAGAAACAATATCCTAGGACTAATGAAGTGAGGCCAAGAAGCAGCTAGAAATTCCTTTCCTTTCTTTTCCCTCTCCCTTCTTAACTGCTTGGTGAGTGTTATTTGAATTTCTAAATAAGTTTGCTCTGTCCATGCTTGTGATGCAATTAACATTTGCTTTTAATAAATATTCCCCCACAGCTTTTTCAAAAAAGAGAGGTTTGCATACAGTAGACTTCTTTGGTAAATAAAGCTGACTGCTTGTACATGTAACCTGAAGGGAATAATTTTGACTTGCTCTTCACTGAAACATACAATTTCTCATAGCTCAGTCTGTTGTTAACGTAAAGCCATTAGAGTTTCAGTTGGATTTGCTGTAATAATAAACTTCCATTTGAAGAGGGCCAGTAAACTGTCCTTCTGTGTGTTGCCCATTTATTATAAGCAGGATGTAACAAGAATATAATTAGAATAAGCAATTAATTGATTCAATGCATGTTGTTACATTTGACAATTTGACATTCATTAAAATGTGGTTAAATTCAATCTTTATGATTAAGCTAGCTTTTATAGTTTACAATATGACCACTTTCACTGTCAGCTGGGAATAACTCTGTCAACTTCCTTTTGGAAACTACTATGGGGGTAGTGGAGAATGTGGTGGGATTTTGTCAGAACCGTGCATCTGAGGCTTTCTTCTTCATATTTGTCAGTAGTGTGGGATTTTGTGCAGCTGTGAAGTAGAACCCAGATCCTCTAGCTGAAAACAAGCTCCTGCTGGGCTGAAGCCCCTTAGAGACTCGCTTCACAAGGTCACGATCATATGACTAAGGATTTTATTTTAGGCTTTAACCACTACAACATGAGAGATATAACCACACACAGTAGTCCTCAACTGTGCTCATCTTATCCACCAGTGACAGTGCAGGGCAGAGCAAGCACACTGCTGCCAGCTGGTGATCCCTCTCACCACTGCTTGGTGGATGCAACCAGTTGAATGGAGGCTACAGAAGCTGTGCTGTTCTGTCAGAGAGTAAAACTGTGGCAGTGTTGGTGTGTGCTAGTCCCTGTAGGCAGGGAGCAGATGTAGGCATTTTCCATTCATTGCCATCTTTCTTTTTCAGACATCTTTCGAGAGTTCAATGTTACGATTGTGGGCTATTCAACTGGCACTGGGAGTGAGAATGATTCGAATGCGTTCCTTAACCAGGCAGTTCCTGGAGCACAGGCTAAGTAGGTAGCTTTTTCTTTTACTTTTGCAGGTGATGAATGCTTCATCTAATTCCCTTTCAGCTGTCTTGTGTGCTGTCACAACTTGCTCTGAACAGCAAGTAAAACCAGTCTAATTAGAGTTGAAAATTGGCTCAAAACCTGTTAAATGTATGGGCTTCATAGCTGAACTTTCAAATGAAGCCAACAGTCCCGGTAATGAAATCCACAAACAAGAAACTGTCAGTAACTGTTTGGTGGTGGTGGTGGTTTTCACTCTTCCTCTTCAACATCTATTCATTTATCTATTTATCTGTCAAGAAATCTCTGAGAGCATGGATGTTTTCAGAAAATGAGCATGTAGTGAATTTGTAAAGAGATACCAGGAGAAAAACTAAATTAAATCTTTCGTAATTCTGGCTTCAGGCTTCTGGAAGAAGCAAGCAAGAGTGGTCAAGAGAGAGGGAAAAAAAACCCAGACACAGTCTGGAATCTAAAGAAAGAATGGTTGATGGTCATGTGTGGGTTTTGGTGCATTGCAGACCTAGGGAGTATAATGTCTTGCAGTCATCTGAATTTGGCTCTTTGCTTTTAGTCACACCTGAGAGGCTGCATGAGTTGAGCTTTGCTATACTGCTTATCCTAGAAATCCCTGGCTTCTTATTGAAAGAGTTGATGCTGTTTAATTAACAAAGCAGATGGCTGCTGGAATTCAGTCATAGTTTGGGCACAGGTTCTGGCAGACCATGCCTGGATTTGGCATTGTTAGTTGATGTTACCCAGACGTACCCAGACTTTCCTTCATTTATTTGTTTTTTTAAAGGAATATTCCCCTTACTTCCCAAAGAGGTCTTGGAAGTGAAGTTCAGAAGCCAAGTGAGGTGTCGGAGTTTTCTGTATCTAAGCAAAGATTGTTAAGATTTTTATTTTTATTGCTCTCCTGCGGACCTTGAGTAACTTCTGACTCATATTAGGAATCTCAGTAAATGCTTGGATTTCCGGACAGAAACAGTCTAGTAGGTGCCCTGATAAATCTCACAGCCCTCCATACCTGAAAGAAGGGGTTTTGTATCTGAATGTATCTGTGTCAGTCAGGGAAACATATGCAGGGATTATATATATGCAGCATATATCCAGATTGGCTTCAGCTTTTGCTTGTTATAGGAAAGAATGAGATAGGTGCCTGTCTTGTATTTTATATCAGCTAAATCCTAAACAGGCTTTTTGGAGTGGTGGGAGGACTTGAAAGAGGAAACCCAACCTCTTGTAGTCACCAATATGATTTAAAGCAGTTTGTATCAATAGTAACCAAGGCATTATATTAAGTAGTTATTTGTTAGCTGTATGAAGTAAGTTGGTGGATATTAGTCTAATGAAAAATTCATTACTACTTCATCTATGCCAGTTAGTCTTCTCTCTTCCCATGTGAGGAGCTGGACTAGATAAACATGATGAAGTGGAGCTATCCATGTTCTCCAACCCTGTTTTTTAAACATTCAGCAAGGAGGTGCAGACCACAGTTGTTCCAGATTTCTGATGGTCTTGTTTCTCGTAAGTCTCTGTAGAAAGGTGTGCAAAAATAAAATCCTGTAAACCACTACACTAATATCCCTGAACTTTGAGATGCTTATTTTGGGTTTCTATTCTGTTACAATGTGGCTCTTAATACATCTGAGAAGATGAATGCATCCTAATTTGACTATTGAAATGTATTGCAACATAAGGAAACGTTTCTCCTGCTTTAGGTATTTGGACCTGGAATGATGATAGAATCCAGCATTTATTCTTCATCAGCCAAAAATATCAATTTTCCTATGATTCAAAGTCCACCAGCTAATCCTGGTATTTCAGAATTGTTACCTGGCTTGTCTCACTTTGGGTGCTAATCTGGAAACTGCTTTCCAGAGGTGCTGGGATCTTTCTGAAATTGGGTAGTTCTGCTCTCTTAGCAGCTTATGGAAGCAAAGTGTAAGGCTTTTTTAGAATTAAGTCAGTGGCTGCTCTGAAGAGCTCTTTAGTGAACTTGATGGCAATGTAGCAATGCAGGTCTCATTCAGCAAAACATTCCTAAGCCCATCTGCATTCATTGCCCAAGTGCTTACGTCCGTGCTGGAGTTAGGGATAGCTCTGAAGCATGTTGCTGAAGCAGAGCCTGGCTCAGATCTCTGATTTCACAGGAAAAAAAAAAAAAAAAAAAAGAAAAAAAAAGGGGGTTGAGAATTTAAGACTGAGAGGAGAGAACAGGTGACAGGAATGGTGAATATCTGTATTTCCCATTAGCAAACTATTTCTGTTAATCAAGATCTAAATTTGGTGGAAACTGCAGCTCAGGGATGGGTGATTGCTGGCACTGCTTCATTCAAGATGTTCTTAGATCTCACTGACTGTACTGTAGCAGGATGCATCAGCACTTCAGTGACTGCCTGAGAAATCAAAGGTGTTGCGTTCTGTCAGCTCAATAAGTGGTGTTTTCCTCTGGATCAATATTGAAGTTGATACCCTAGCTTAGGGGTGTTCCACAGTAAGAACAGAAGGAAATTGTGACCACTTGTGGCGTCTGATAGCTTTGGGATATAAAAAAGAAAGTAGGTTATGACATTGGACAAGGGTAACAGTGAACAGAACTGTTACATGCATACAGTATCCGTGTCATAAATGGATGTATGACAGGGCTCATTCCCCAGTAAATACTCTTATGTTAGTGTCAGATCAGTATTCAGTTGGAGGAGGGTGCTGGGAGATATCTCCTGTTCCCACAGTAAACACAGCCTTGCAAAGGAGAGCTAAGATCTGGTTGCCATACAAAACAAGTGTCATGCTTATTAATGTCAGCTGATACGCTTCCAGAAATGATAGACAGTCAGTGAAGTGTTTCTAACAAGAGCCTGGAGGGAGATGCAGCTCATGCCATACTGCAGAGATGCCTGGAAGGCCAAAGCTTTCCAAGCACATTCTCTTTTCTATGCATATTTGAGGATCAACATGAGGATCAGCATCAGGGCAGTCAAACAAGGTTGAAGTGTTCAACCTAGATAACTCAAAATTCATGGCAGTTTATATATATATATATATA